TAGATATCAAGAAAGACGAGCAATACTGCTTTGCCTCCATAGATTGTCTTGATTGCCGTATTTCATTTGCCAATTTGTGAACTTGTTTCTTTGGCAGATTGGTTTTTCGAAACCCTATTTGCCAGATTCGAAATCGCGCTTGTTTTCTTAGCTGCTACTTTCGGAGAAATCCAATCCTTTAAGGCTACTTATTATTTATTGTTATCAACTTTTTATTTGTCTTTAATATTTAAGTACAAACTAATTATTGATGTTAGCCTTACTTTTGATACTGCTTTTTTACGATTTATATCTCATATCATTATATGAGTAGGAGATGACTTGAGTATTGCGTCTATGAAACGTGGTGATTCATCTTTTTTTTAAACGATTTTTTTTATTTCACAAGTCAAATTTTCCAGAGTATCCACAGCATCTTCGCCTGTCTTGTCCCCGTGTATATGTTAAAATATTCATTTGTAAATTTCTCTTTCTTATTTGCAGGTCTGGTGTGAAATCAATGTACAGCTTGTCACGTTCAATAACATGGATAGTCGCCAGTTCCTCAGTGATTCTGTTTGCTCCAGTTATATTTGAAGTAGAACGTGCTCAAGTAGAGGAGATGCAGAAGTCACAACAGAAGCAGGTAAATAAATATTAGTTAGTATTAGTAGTAAAAAAAGCTTATAAATTTTGCAATGTATATTTTGCAACTATTATTGACCAATATTTTACTGCGAACATATTTGTTAAATATGATCATTAGACAATGATTACTGATTAATTGTCTTTTAACTTGCCACATACAAAACATTGTATTGTCTCGCGAACAAACATAACTCCTATTAAATCTTTAGTAATCATTTAATTTTTTATTTGATTTTATTTGTTTGAAAGTTAACTATTGAAATGTTAATATTAGAACATGTTTTATAATGTAGAAATTGCAAACTAAATATAACAAGTAATGTAATTATTATTAAAACAACATCATTTATTTTATTTCGTATTTGTGCAGTCTAACGAGGCATAAACAGTAAAGACTTTCATACTCTTGAGGGGTTTAAATGTGTCACATCTGACATATTAATGTAATTTAATTATATTTTGCCCCAAGTTATTAGCCCAATACATTTAATATTGTAAGTCATTAATATTAAGTGCATTATATACACAATTATTGAATACATATTCATTACTTTGTTTCAGGTGTTACTCGGCACTAACGCATCAATGTCCAACTTACCGCCGATGCCACGATAAATACTGTAATGTTAACGACGAATTACATAATTGTATAATTCAACTACATGTAATCTGAACATTTCATAAGTCATCCTAATGCTTTAATGTTAGTTTTAGTCATAAATACATACTGTCATATAATTGAAAAACTTAGAATTAACCTATATCATATTCTAATGTGTTTCCAATTTCGGTCTTTATTTCACTAAAATGCATTTATAAGTAAACAACAACAAAATCGTTAATGTATATCTATTTTTGTTTGAGTAATATATAAATGCATATCAGTCTAATGTACACTTTAAAATTCTATTCTCCAGCTGCAGTTGTTTTTAATTTTTATGGATTGGTATGCAAGTGTAATTTAAAGATTTATTAGCATGTAGAAAAAGGTTTTTTTTAAACACCACTATAGAAAATAAAGTATTGTTAAAACAAAAATTGAGCCTTTGTATATTCACATAATTCAATGTATTTTTTAGATTTTCAGTGCGTTTACTTTTATCATTTGAATTGGATGCGAAAAGCTCTTTAATAATTTATCCAACAGTCGTATAGGGAATGGTTAAACTCGCCAACATGTTGATTCGACGTGTTGTGCAAACAGTGCAGAAATGTCCTTTCAAAATACGGCCCTCACGCCTATTAGCGATTTTAAACGACAAAAAGTACTACTGTGGTAAAAAGGGCAACATAATCTCCTTTTAAGCGCACTGTGAACATGTCGGTTATAAATGTCGACAAATTCTAATTAATCGTATGTCATGATCGTTACTGTAAAACTAACATATATTAATTAAATGTCGGAACCAGTGCCATGGGCACACTACTAACTACTCTATTAAAACTAGGGCCTTTCCTGTCAGTAACACTGGGCAATAAAGGAGCAGCTTCCTATTCTAGCGAACTCCCCGCGACACTGCCACATCCGCCATTCCAGTAATCTTTATTCGGTAAAAGAGGAAAGGCCCGTGCCAGTGATTTTTATAAGATGAAGCTGAAAGGCCACCAGCGATCAACGGGTATATATCATTCAGAAAAAAATGAATGCTTGTACAGTCACGACCGCGTCAAGCTTGACACATTGTACTTTGGACCGTTCTTATCGTAAGCGGCATAGAGTTGGATTTAAGTCTGTACAACATTTAAATAATACAGCATCCCAGTAGAACATCTAATATACTTAGTAGAAACAACATGACGACCTCGGTGGCCCTACTGATTCCATTGGGGAGCTGTATGAGAAGTCTCGGGTATTCCCGGTAGGATCAATTTGGAAAATGAACTTTTCTAAGTTGTTTCTGTTCTGAGTTAATTACATTGATCTGGTATTCTAGTACCTACACGAAATTCCTTAGTCTGAATTGCTTAAACCCAAATACAGCGTTTGGCGGTGTTGGCGTTTAACAGCTTATTAAGCGTTTTAGAGGTATTTGGTGTCGTGCTGTCTAATACATTCTTATTACTACATGCAAAACGGCTCCAAACATACTTGATCGAAGCTACAAGGCAATTCTGTTCCCAGGTAAGGCAAACAACTTTTTGAAAATCTATGAATGCAGCATTACCCTAAGTTCTAAAAATGAAATAATGTCTCCATGAAACGAAATATTATCCTATCTACATTATGTAAAGCAAATAATAATATTTAAAGCACTTCGCATAGCCGTGGAACACCTTGTATCCTCTAAGGCGCATTGTCTGTTGCACAGACCTTGCATATAGACACAAACTACTAATACAAGACATATACACGCAGACCGATGTAAATGCGCCGAGATCATTTTACCTTGTATCAATGATACCATAGATCTATACTAAATCTATGAATGATACGTGTTTCATGCATTACTAACTTCTATTTTCCAGTACTTTATAATTTATTTATAATAAAAATGATGGGAAAAAATATTGTTTTTGTTGTTTAATATATAATATTTGATACATGTAAAAAAACCGGTAATAAGTGACAGTAGTTAACGACGGGGACATCTCTATTATACACGAGATAGGAAAAAAAAAGAAAGTCAAAATTCTTCTGGTATTTTGAGCTGTTAGAAGTATACTGATATTGATATGTTTTTCTTAAATAATTCGCTGTAAACATGGCAAATACGGGCTTATTGCCATTTGTGCGTGGTGTTGATTTTACGTGTAACGATTTTAGCGTAAGTATTATCGAACAAAGCAAGAATATTAGTTGATAGATAAGGGATGATATCATACCTATAACCTATGTTCTACTATTTATAATAATGTGGCCTAAATTCTTTGCAGGGTGAGAAATTTCCTGATGCTATTCGGTACATGACAGGGCTGCAGTGGCTGAGGCTTGACAAGACTAACTTGGCCAACATACCAGAGGAATTGGGGAAGCTAATGAAATTGGTATAAAAATCAAATTAAAAGTAGACCTTCCATTCTTTTGATTGTACTAAAATCCTGCATGCTAATATGAAATATAATATTGGAGTACAACAAATTTTAGTTACAAATATCTGTATTAGTTCCATAAAAAAAATTCGATCCACACTACAGTGCATAATATTTTTTTGTTTGTTGGATTATTAAAATTCAATAATCCTCAATGCCTTAAGTTTTAATAATGTCCTTGCATTATAGTATGATAATACTTCACAATAATGTACATAACATTCTGATTATACTATTTTAATAATGATATAATATATTTTCTAGAAAAAGTTATTCAAATAGCCATTTTGTATAATTGCCAAAGATAATTCTTAATTACATGTCATCTAGTTTCTACTCAAAAGCACAATAACATATAAATTACTTTTAGGTATCTTATTCTTTTAATTTTTGTTGATTGAATAAACATTTTAAATTTTCTTCTAAAAGTATTGAAATTTTCAGAGAAAACTGTGTTACCAATTTGTGAAACATATTATGTCCATTTTATTATCTTAATCAAATGAAACAAAAGTATGGCAAAGTTACTTTATTTATTTTTACATGTGGGGACCTTTTACTTTTACAAGATGTAATTGTAAGTTCAATAATATGCCAATTAAATCCTATGTGTATGAATGTCAAAAATACAATCACTGCCTAATTATTCCAACTTTATAATATTCCTAATGCCATTACAGAACAATCATTTGATGCAACAAGTTGACTTTGAAAGTTTGCTTACAATGCCAGAGACACTAATCTTACAATGCCAGAGACACTAATACTGGCAGTTTTATTAATTAGAAAATTGAATTTATTAAAACTAATAGACACAAAGAATACAAGTATTGGTACAATTATGAGCGTGAAATAGTGGTAACAAAACTGACGTCTCAATAAAATCGTTGATTTCAACTACTAATTAAAGCCTGTTTAAAAATAACAAATTGCTCTAAATTAAAATTAGACTTATAGTACAACACACTTTTTTTTTCTAAAAAGCATGGTGGAAGCTTCTAGAAAAATTAGATAAATAAATAAGGACTGAGGACAGCTTAAAATTAAGGACTCTTAACATCGTAATGTTGAGGGACAAATGATTATCACTAATCACATATTACTTACCACAGTATGACTTCTTTTTATTGTCCCAATATTTCGGAACAGTTACAAGTTCCATGGCCTTAAGATGACTGGTCAATGGCACATGACAGCTTTAAGAACATACATGTTGTATATTATCATGATAAAAAACTTATAAGTAGTAATAATAATTTAAGTGCATACGCGTCTACGCGCTGCAGACATTTTTTTCTAATTTGTGCTGCAGACGCGCTGTAGCCGCGCGTATGTATTGCGCACTTTGAAAAGAGACAGTTTTAATTTTACTTTTGTTTCGTAATTTTAGTGAGTTTTTGAAATAAAGCAATTAAAAATATATAAAAGAACGCATACTGCATCTTTTTAAACATAATTATACTAAAATATATTTAAGAGAAATTACCTAGTAACTTTAGTAAATTATTACTATTCGGTTTTGGGACTTTATTTTGCATGCATTGCACTAGACAAGAAGTGTGAAAAGACAAAAAATCACAGCAAAAGTTGTCTTCAACATGAAATTCTAAGTGTGGAGTATATAAGCTTCTTGTTTGTAAAGGATATCCTTCAACTAAGAAATCAAATCACGATTAACCAGATTTCAATTGATTTATTCCGCTCAATGTCAAATACAATCTATTTATAAGGCCCGAGTTGCCGATTACAAAAACAAATATTCTACTGCAAATAACTTATACAATGTGTTACTTACCATAATAAAAAATTAATAATAATAATAATTTAAAATAAATAATTTAAAATAAGAAATAAATAGTTTAAAATAAATACAATAATAATAATAATAATAAATAACGCACACACTCAACATAGCCCCGCACTAGAAAAACCCTGTGTCGCGGGTGCCATGGACACACACATAGACAACCACAAATTACATCCAAACTCACGAGATAAATAATTGTGGGCCATACAACTATTTCTCCAGGCCCGGGAATCGAACCTGGGACCTCTGCGTGGCAGTCCGGCATGGTAACCGTTAGGCCACGGAGGCAGTTATACGATAATTATATAATTATATAAATAATTATACGATACGATACCATGTTACAAATTATAACAGTTCTTATTAAAAACAACGGTTAATAGTATTAAAATACAAAGTAAATTAGGCATAATATGGAAGCTAAATCGGTATATCTTACATGGCTATCATAAACAAGATGGTATAATATTTATAGGTAATTAGGCTTACACTTGTAACGCGATGTTCGATACAGACAAGCTGCGAACGTGCTTCTCGCGCGGATCTGTAACACGTTTTACGCGCGTTTGAATCGCGTCTCCCGCGCGTTTGTATCGATAGATTCTCTTAAATAAACCCAAAAAAAAAAAAAACTTAAACAAACACAGAGAAAAATTTCTTCGATCTGAGTGCACTCTAAGCAGCGTCTTTTTGCGAAACTGCGGCTTACGCAACAAGCACATAGAGAAATTCGTAAGGTCTGCTGACTCGATCTCGTAGTTCAGTTGGTAAGAGAGCGGTAGCCCCGGTTTGGCAAAAAGACTCTGGTTCGAGTATAGTCAGATTGATTTTTTTTAAATATCTGCATTCAGTTGCCAGACTATAAGCAAATAAGCGTGCATATTGTTATTGATTTTAGAAGGCATTATTTGTCATGTCCATAAAGTACTGGAGAGTCGTCAAAAGTACATGATCATGTTTACTAATATTAACAAAAAACAGACACTATTGTCCTAAAACTTTTCACCTAAATAAAAACAACACTATAATTTATTTTGAACATCTACATCTTTAATCAGAATGGGTATTGTTGCTACCAATGTTCTTTACTTGATACATTGTGAAGTCTAGAAAGATGCACGATCATGAAGATGGACCTTTAATTTTACAGGAAAACCTTTCTCTAAAAAAGAATAATCTAGAAAAATTATTTGGAGAGCTAACAGAACTCAAATGTCTCCGATCTCTCAATGTAAGGCACAACAAGGTAAAAAGCTCGGGAATCCCAGCAGAACTTTTCCGTTTAGAAGAATTGACGACGTTGGACCTATCCCATAATAGACTGAAGGAAGTGCCTGAAGGATTGGAAAAAGCTAAATCTTTACTAGTTTTGAATTTAAGTCATAATGTGTAAGTATAAATTTCATTGAAATTATTATTCATTAGTTACGTTCTATGGTATATTTTGTTCCGTTTGATTTATAGTAGACTTTAGCATTTACACAAAAGATAGACGTTAGTATTTACTCGTTATACGAACCGAATCTGTTTAAACATTTTACGTCGTAATTATTCTATATAATTGCATAGTTGTAATGCTGGCAATGCCGCACATTGCCTTTGAATTAGTTTATATTCCATCAATGTCGGTCAAATTCGGTTGGTCCAGGATTTTGAGAGGGCGCGTACGGCGCGCACAGGTTTATTTATCCTTAGTCTCTCAAACATATTACTTAATACTATGGTTTTTTGTGTGTGTACAGGGTCAAGCGGACGTAAGCTTCACACTTAAGATTTAAATCGAACTCTATGCCGCTTACGATAAGAACGGTCCAAAGTTCAAAGTTGTCAGTTTGAATCCTAGCTTGACGTGCTTTTGACTGTACAATTTGCCATAATAAATTTGTATTACACACTACAAGTTTCATTTTTTTTACCTACAGTGTTTTTTTACAGTATTGAAAGCATACCGCCCACATTGTTCGTCCAACTCACAGATTTATTGTTCTTGGATCTATCAAGTAATCGCTTGGAGACCTTACCGCCCCAGACGAGGAGGTTGGCAAACCTCCAGACTCTTATACTTAATGACAACCCTTTAGGACTATTTCAGTTGAGGTAATGTAGCATTCAATACAATTCAGTTACACACTGTAACTTGACTAAAGCTGATACGACACAGTGCTTACAGCCCACATAGGTATGAGGTTTCTCGCATCCAGACAGTCCTGACTAAACCATAGAGTTTTCTTATGACACATATTTAAATATTGATCAAATTTTGACACCAGATTGAGTAAAATTATCGCCAAACATTTATTCGAATTTTAGTAAATACAATCAGTCAGTCATATCGATTGTAGCGAGCGTCAACTATTGAGCATGGAATATAATTAAAAACAACTAAAAATAACATATTCGCACCCCTCATGGCAGAATGGCATAAGTGGAGTTGCGTCAACAACGTTTATTTCTCCATTAGACACAGAAAAATATAACCCAATTCCTCTCCAATTCTTATAACTCGATCTAATCGAGTAACTACACTTATGCCATTTGTCAATGATATGTTCCCACATATGTAACTCAACATAATTTTTTTCCTTCTAAAATCCTTTAAATTGTTTTCCTAAAAATAAAGATCTTAATTTTATGGTACAGATAGTACACAACATACGTCGTTTTTAAAAACTAATTTATCTTCCAGACAACTACCATCCCTGCAAAGTTTAGAGACCCTACATATGCGTAACACACAGCGTACAGTCGCAAATCTACCCACGTCTTTAGAAATGCTATCTAATCTATGTGACGTGGACCTTGCGAGGAACGCCTTGACTAAAGTACCAGACGCTTTGTATTCGCTGCAGAACTTGAAGAGACTGAACTTGAGTGACAATGAAATTATTGAAATTTCTTCAGGTGAGAAGAAGACCAATACTTCTTTAGTCATAAATTAGTATCCCCTGTATCCCTAATTGCACTATAATAACGAAATTAATATGGAGCCACAACTAAGAACACCCGGATTTAATCAGAATGAATAATATAAAAGTTGTTAAGTACATCTTAAAGGCCTTTTGGAGTTACGACTTCTATTTCGCTTTTTGTAATATTTTTTTTAATCAAGCGACACACCTTGTCATGATTTTCGTCTGAGATTTATCTTGTGGCGTTCAAGTTTATACGCGACCGATCCACTTCGTGTAATGTCGTTGGCATATACTTACTATAATACTTGCCGTCGTGGTGAAAGGATTTGCCAATCGGCGTAAATTTTACTTATGCCTCAATTTGGACGTTTATACCTCGATCAATCCGCAACGATTATGATTATGGATGAAAGGGGTTTGATATATTTTTTGTCATGGTGCTTATTCTGCCTTTTGTCCGCCATTTTGGTTTTTAAATTTTTGATATAGTTTTTATTTAAAGTCTTACAGCCATGTGTACACCCAAAAAGAACTTAATCGATGACAAGCATTAATATAGAAAAAAATAGTTAGAATATACAAAATAAAAATGCTTAAAGTGACTCATATCCACAGACACATACTCCTATCCAAAATATCAAACGTTCAAAACCTCTTTGTTCAAAAGATAGCCAAGAAGTAACAGGCTATTAACATCTCATTCTTTAATCGATAGAATCACATAATGGCAAACCTCTGTCATGCGTAACGTTGATTAATGAATAAAGTCTACCAGCATATTTTCTCTAATTATTACTTTGTAGACAACATGCTCACCACAAGTTTGCATTATGTAAGTGTAACGAAAGTGTTTCTTGTGTGTTGTTCTGGAACCTTATGTGATCTTAATCAACGTGTTTACTAAAGCGGAAGTACAGTCATATTTCGTATGTCAATCTGATAATAACTTATTTAGCGGGTTGGTGGGGAGATATGCAGGTGTAAAGCTGCAATTTAATAGAATTAATGACAGCAGCACCTCCTTGCTGCGTATGTCCAGATTTAGTCCTTAGAGTTGCTATCTCTGACTGAAGAGAGGTTCCCAAACTTATGTGTCTCGTAGACCACGAATAATTTTTTCCTGTTTTACGTAGACCCACTTTTTTTATAATAATAACGCACACACTCAACATAGCCCCACACTAGGGAAACCCTGTGTCGCGGGTGCCATTGACACACACATAGACAACCACAAATTACACTCAAACTCACGAGAGAAATAAATGTAGGCCATACAAATATTTCTCCCGGCCCGGGAATCGAACCTGGGACCTCTACGTGGCAGTCCGGCATGGTAACCGTTCAGTCACGGAGACAGATTCTCCCTTTCTAAAATGGATTTTTTTACAAATTCGTTAACTTCCAACGAGTTTTTGACAACTTACACAATGTTACACACTTTGACAAGAATTTAACTGTATATATGTGTTTTTTTTGACAGAAATTTATGTCTTTATAAGAAAGTGTTATGTATGTAACTATATATGTATAGGTACGATCAGAATAATGTGGGTTATTCCGTTTATGGAAATCCAAAATATGGGCCATATCATTAAGCGGTCTCATGCACTCACTACTTTTTTTCCCTGACATAGACCCCTTTGTTATAATAGTCGTCGGAGGGGTCCACATACACCGCTTTACGAATCATCGGTCTAGAACATCCTCAAGAAATAAGTTTTTCGCAGCAATCTAGTACTACAATCGTATATTCTTTTAGTAACACTACTTTTCGACCTGTAATATCTTTTTTCTCCTACTCCCATCTACCTAACTACCACGCACAGGAGCGCAAATATATTCAAGAAATTAACATTGATTAACTGTTTGGTATAGTGTTTATCGCGCAATTGGAATATAATGAAGTTTTGCTTGGTATTAAACATTATACCAATCACTTTCTTGTTTCGCTATCGTTCCGTGTACTTGATAGAAACAGTCATATCTTACACATCGACACACGTATAAACTATACCTTTAAGGTATTATGAATATTTTTCTTTTCACTGGAGAAAATTTCAGGGACTACACGAAAGGAAATAAGTCTTATGAATTACAAAATTTAGTAAGTAAATTCCCGAAATTTCAATATCGTGATTTATAATAATGTTAACCATTGAAACGAATGTCATATTCGTTAATAATAATATTATAAGTTATTATATAAAATTGTTTTTTGTGTGAAATGTTTGTATAATAAAACAAGTTTTGATTTATATTTTCAAACACAGCAATGGACATCTGGCAAAAGTTGGAAAGCTTGAACCTCTCACGTAACAAACTGACGGCGCTACCAGCAGCGCTATGTAAACTACAGAATCTACGAAGATTGCACGTAGATGACAACCAATTGGACTTCGAGGGTATTCCCTCGGGCATCGGCAAGTTGGGCAACCTGGAAGTATTTTCTGCTGCAAATAATCTGCTGGAGATGATACCTGAAGGGCTTTGTAGGTGAGAATAATTTGTTATATAACTTTTACATATTTAATCCCTATAACGATTACGGCGACGAGTGCCTATTTCTATTAGCGTTGTTTTTATTTCCTGCTCTGCTTTAGTAAATTTGTTTTTGTCAATTATCGTGTAGTAATTTAACCCCTATCTCCGTCCCCTTATCAAGTGATATTAGTAACAATATATCAATAATGTATCCCCAAACCTCTAAGATCCAAATTCAATGGTTCGTTACCGTTAACTGCCTCATTGGCCGAACGGTTGCCATGCCGGACTGCCACGCACAGGTCCCAGTTTCGATTCCCGGGCTGGGTGAAATATTTGTATGGCCTACATTTATTTCTCTCGTGAGTTCGGGTGTAAATTGTGGTTGTCTATGTGTGTGTCCATGACACCCGCGACACAGGGTTTCCCTAGTGCGGGGCTATGTTGAGTGTGTGCGTTATTATCATTATTACCGTTCTCGTAAAATCGACATAAATAATTTAAAAATTCATTCATTCGTGTCAATTTTATTATGATCTTGTCACTGTCGCGTGTTTCCACGAAGTTTGTAGTTTCCAACGCATTTACAATGTAAAACTATTACAATTTACATTCTATTTTGTTTTTACGCCGTATCGCGTATTTACGCACGGTTTTCCTCTTTTTAACATATATTGTTAGTATGGTCATAAGTTACATTAAAAAATTGCTGCCTGCCAATAAAAAAACATTCCAACCCAAGTTGAATTGAAACATTGGTACATTTTTTAATAATTAATAAAATTTATGGCGAATATTGAAAGTGTATATCGTATCAGAAAGTATTACTAACCAAAAAATGTAATAAGAAATAAATGTACCTATAATATATACATATAATACATGTATAATAATAGATATAATAGTACAATGTCTATGTCAATTGATTGTGTTTAAGTTTGAAATGTTCCTATATAATTAGTTTAATTTGCTACAGGGTATGACGTATATGCCTGCTACAATTTTAAGCTTATTAACCTGTACTATACATGTGAATTGCAATACATGAGTATGAATATTATAGTGGTATTTGAATATATGCAGTGCAGTAAGTCATTGTAAAATAATATTAATCGAAACTTTTGAATAAACTATGTAAAATAATCCTATCGGTCTTGAGATACTGTGTCCAATATTCCAAAGTGTGGTAATTAAGATTTAAAGCTATAAGGTCCAACCAGCCCACACTTATTATTGTACTTACATTCCCTGGCTTCAGTCTTATTCTCTGAACGCTACAACTTAGGCCTTTTCAAGGCGAGAGTGGATAAGCGTTATTTACATGTGCATGGTCCATCGTCGACCTCATCGTTACTTTCCATCAGGTGAGATGGAGGTCAAATCAAGGTCAGATGGAGATCAAATCAAGGACAATCAAGATCAATCAAGGCTATATTTTACTAACCGACTTCAAAAAAAGGAGGAGCTTCTCAATTCGACCTTATTTTTTTGTATGTATGTTACGCGATAATTTGTGAACCGATTTTGATGATTTTTTTTTGTTGGAAAGTGGGTACCTCAGTATTGGTTCCATTTTGATTTGAAGAAAATATTCCACCTCTGAGGGTGACAAACTAGGGAAAGAATACAGTTTCGCGCACTTTCTGGTAACCGATTTCAATTAAACTTGGCATATAGATCTAATTCCACGAACTTTTGAGGTCGGTACTTTAGTACTCTGTACTGAGATTACATCAAAGAAGATCTGTCGGCTAAGTTATTGCAACGTTATTTCACAAAACACGAAAAATTATTTCAGATGCGGCTCACTCAAGAAGCTAAATCTAAGCTGTAACAAATTAATAACTGTTCCCGACGCGGTTCACTTACTCAGTGATTTAGAGAGCTTGCAGCTTCATGGAAACCCCGATCTGGTTATTCCTCCGAAGCCCGTGGAGCGACCGCGAGGCGCTGGAGTGGAATTCTATAATATCGACTTCTCATTGCAAACGCAGCTTCAACTGGCGGGAGCAGCTACTGTTGAACCTGCTACAAATAATAGTAAGTAACGCTATAACTTGGACCTTTTCAAACTACAAAGAACTCCATGCAAGTAGTTTCAAATTGGCCTTGTAGAAATTTAAAAACAAAATATTAAAATTATTAATTTAAATTTTGTTTCAATCGTGTTATAAGTGAGTCACCGAACTTATCGATTTGGAATCGGCTTGAGCCGGTCAGACACAGGATTGTCTTGGAATAAGAGCGACAAAGACATGCGTTTCGCCTGAATAGAGTTGCACCATCCGTCCGCGACAACGTCTTTTTCGTTGTTCTTGTACTGGACACGAAGATTTTTCTCATTAGGTCAAGGCTTTTCCATGTCGTGTGGTTCCTCTCTAAGGACTGATATATTTACACATGACGTAATGGGTCAACTCAACGGAGCCAGAGATAAAAAGTATCTGTGACCGAACAGTTACCATGCTGTACTGCCACGCAGAGGTCCTGGGTTCGATTCCCAGGCCGGGCGAAATATGTGTATGGCCTACATTTATTTCTCTCGTGAGTTTGGGGGTAATTTGTGGTTATCTGTGTGTGTGTACATGGCACCCGCGACACAGGGTTTCCCTAGTGCTATGAGTGTGTTGCGTTGAAAAAAGCCATTTCCTTTATCATAAATTTTGTTTAACATTTTGACTAGCTATAACATAAATAGTCCCGTGGTTCATTGCCTTCAAAAACTTTAAACATAACGTCTTATTCAAAAGATGCCTTTTTCAAATTCTGTCTTTTCTGGACTTTATAGAAATATTTCGAATTAAATTGTATTGAATACAGTTACACATAATTCTGTGTTGTTCAATAGGTTCTAAATCAGACCCGATAGCTCGAAAACTGCGGTTACGCCGCGGGCGGCCGGAGCCCGAACAAAAGGACTCTGCACTTATTCTGCGTGGAATGCAAGAACAGGCCAATACGCAGCACAACGACCAAAAACTTGACCAGCGCAACAGCGAGCTCAAGTAAGGGCTTGTTTAATCGCTAGCCTATTATTTTAAATCGTATTGACATTAGCAATAAGTCTAGTGTTATTAGTACACCTATCGTTAACTTTTGCTTTTAAACGTTCCGAAGCTGCTATAGTCCACCACAATGATGCAACGTTTTTTTATGTTTCCAAGTGATGGTACTAAAAAGTTGTGCACCTGGTCGACTCGTCTGTCCATAGCAGTTGCAGTGCCACTCGATCTTTAAATCGCAAACATAATAAGGGGCACTGCCACTGCGCTCGTCAATCTGAGACCAAGTTGAAAAGTCCCATGTGCCTGTAATTTCACCAGCACCCTTATTTAAAACGAACGCAGTTATGCTCATATTACTACTCGCGGCAGAAATAGGTAAGGTGGCAGCACTTCCCTGAACATACTCTTTCACAAGCAGCTCTACTGCTACTAGAATGTGTGATTTGAATTGAGGACTGGAGTTTTGCGAAACTTCTTCCATATCCAGGTTTCATCACAATGTTAATAGACTGCAAAGATTTGATATCGCTCAGTAATGAAGGTTCCCGGTGGGAATCGTACCCAAGACCTCCTCATAGGAAACAAGAGTACTCCAAACTTATATATAATGCTTTGTTTCTGTAACACATTACATAAAAATTATTATAATTCAGACCTAAACGTTGGGACGAGAGCTTAGAGAAACCACCGCTGGATTATTCCGAATTCTTCGATGAGGATACGGGCCAGACGCCCGGTCTGCAAATCTGGGAGATAGAGAACTTTATTCCTGCGCCTGTGGACGAGGTGAGATATGAAATATATTTGTCATTTCAAAATTCCGAACCTTTAAATGCCTATGTATGGCAAACATAACAGAAAAATCATAGAAATATGTGCATTCCCATATAAACCAACTAATTTAAATAAATTATTAATTAAAAGAAAGTACTTTTTTCCAAGTTTCACTTTTTCATTTTATTTATCAAACAAAGTTTACAAATCCGAATTTTCGACCTTAAAGATTTCTAGAAGAGATTGCTACATACATATTAGGCCACCAATTGTAGTTCTACTTTTTATGATCTCAAGCAACGGGACAAATAAGCCATGCGCTTGGTGGTAAGCGACTCGCCCAACTATCAAAGTTGTAGTGCCACTCACATCTGTGGGGCACTGCCACCGCTGTACCCGGCACCCTGAAACATAAAGTTTAACACCCTGAAAAATAATTAAGTTCCTATAGTATTTCTCAGTGCTTATGTGTGCAGTAGCTTTCTCATTCTATTGCAGTCTAGTTTAAATAAATTATTTGTGTATGTTAATGAGTCAAAAATTTTAGTTTAATTTGTGATTGTTGTTTTGAGATTGCCGTCAACACTTATAATTGTTGTGTTTACAATGTAGAACACCCAAGTCAAATAAGATAAAAATATGTTGTGAACATAATGTTAGTGTTGCTAATAAATAAATAAATAAAAAAATTAAAAAGTGAATAAGCTATAAGTCTTTGTAGTTTCATTAGCACCTTACCCTTAAAAATCGGATCGTAGGTATGCTCACATTACTGCTTGCGGCAGAAATAAATATGGTGGCAGTACTTTCCTGGACGAATTCTTTCACAAGGAGCTCTACTGTTACTAAAAAAACCTTATTCTCTTATTTTATTGTTCTGTGTTGTCAGAAAGTTTCAATGCGCAATGAACAAAATTTAATTCATTCATTTAAAGACCCGTGTAAAAGTGAAGTACCTAACAACGTGTGCATTTATTTTGTAGGTGGCTCACGGCAAATTCTTCGAAGGCGATTGCTATATAATTCTGAAAACATCCATTGAAGAACAAGGACAACTCTCCTGGGATATACATTTTTGGATCGGATCGAAAGCAACCGTAAGTTCTTTATTTTTTATAATATTAAGCGAAGGGACGAATAAGTAGTGCATCTGATGGTAAGATACACGCCTGTCCATAAGAGCTGCAGTGCCACTCAGAGCTTTAAATCGCAAAGATCTGAGGGGCACTGTCACTGTGCCCGTCACCCTGAAACGTTAGTAGACAAGTCCCATGTGCCTGTAATTACACCAGCATCCACAGGCTCAATTTATATTGCGGCGGAACGGAATGGAAGCGAGTTTTGTAACTATATTGTACATAGAATAATGAACTTTATGGTCAATTAGATAGATACCAGCCAAAACCTTCCGCGGAAATATCGAGCATTCTCGAGCATGTGCTAGAAATCCGCGGAAGATTTTTGCTATGAACTAGCGCTACCAAAATTCGCTTCCATTCCGTTCCTCCGCAATATAAATTGACCCTTACCTTTCAAAACCGGAACACAGTAATGCTGATATTTACTGCTTGGCGGCAGAAATAGGTTAGGTGGCTGTACTTCCCTGGACGGACTCTTTCACAAGGACGTCTGCTACTAAATTTAATGTAATTTTATTTGTAACTTGTATAATAAAATAGTAAAATGAGTGGTAGTAATTCCAGCAACAAAAACGGAACTGTTGAATGAGCATCTCTACTTGTCTACAGGTCTAACGTTTCAGATTGACGAGATGACGAATTGTTAGTGTATGCTTATGTCGTTAGCGATGAACTTAAGGGAGTAACGACCGATCGAAACGATTATCGTCGACGAATCGTCTGTATATGGGTTCGGCCTTAAAGGCGTTAGTCATGAGTGCTATCACGTACTGAATTGTGGTCGTTCCCTATTGTTATTTTGTTAATCCATATATATTATCTGGAATTATATATTATAACTATAATATATTTGTTTCGTACATAGCGTACAACATAGATAATACTAGTGACGATTTCAGTGGCCCAAGTTTCTATTTTGGGCGCTGGATGAAGAAGTCTTGCGTTCGATTTCCGGTAGGCGCAATTCGGATAATGAGCTTTTCTAAATTGTTTCTGGTGTTCTGCGCAATGCCCCAGAATGAATTCCGTTGTTCTGATACTCATATTATTATTATTAGCACTTAGATATTTGCTTTTCTATCAAAATGCACCTCTAAACGAGTAGCATTTTTTGTGAATCGTGTTGAAGATATCGGTTACGTCACAGCGTTACACAGGGCAACATTAATAAAATTTATCTCGTCAGCTGGACAAAGGCGCGTGCGCAGCGATGCACGCAGTGAACCTCCGCAACCTCCTCGGGGCGAAAAGAACGCAACGTCACGAGCAGGGCGACGAATCCCCAGAGTTATTAGCGCTGTTCCCCACACCCCCCGTATACCTACAAGGTAGTCACACTCCTTCTGGTTTCTTCACTGTTGATGACCCGGTAAGTGATTCCTTATCTAGACTATTATGCCAAATAAAGACTTGCAATGAAACACTCTTTAATCTGAGTTATCACAGCATTAGAAATAAAAAGGAGAAGCCGCTGCGTCAGCTATACTTAAAATGATATTAATATCAACAGTGTATAGTCGTTATTACATTCCAATGAATAAAGGATAATAAATTTAGATTGCTTTGTAAATTTCTTATTTTATGTGTCTTGAATAATGGTCGGAAAAAGGTGTTCCACATACAGACACATGTGTAAATATAGCTACAATGAGCGACATAGAGTTGTTAAAACCACCAAATATTAATTAATTTCTTTTTTCGTATTCGGATGAAAGAAACTCCTCTCTTTATTCTATTTACGAACATAAATAGCCGTACATGGGTAAGGCCGTCAAAAATTGGACTTTTTGTCTGGTTTAAGCGTTCAGCAGTTTTTTTTTATACAAAGTATTAAATAATCTAGTGTGAACATTTTCCTTTTAAAATACGACATTTCTGCTAGTGTTTCGAATTTATGCACATGTTATGTCTGTATTTTATAATTTAAATAAAATGTTTTTAGAGCGCGATCACAACGATGCTCATGCAAACGAAAAGGTCATTGTAACTTTTTTATTCTCTGCTTTGATAATTTTATCTGCTGCATTTTTTACATGGCACCATTAGAATTACTTTCAAATCCAACTTCGACTTCCTAGGTCAGTAGTCCTACGGTGCAGTAAAATCATTTCCGGAAATCCGGACTTTGAAACAGTAATTAATTAATATTTCTTGGTTTTAGCAACTCTATGACGCTCCTTGTAGATATATCTATATATGTGGAACACCTTTTTCCGACTATTGGTCATGAAATTCTGACAGCCCTATGCAGCCAACTTCTTTGTATGGAAAACAACACCTCTCCCTTAATGTGTGTAATATTTAACTAAAAACCTTGAACTATATCATTTGCCACTTAGGATAGGATGACAGTTCTTTAGTAACGTAAAAGCCCAGCGTGCTGTTGACTGTAGGTTACATAAAATATATTATACAATATTAAGACATGACAAAAATTAAAAACACTGTTATATGTGAGACTTTATGCGATTGATTCTGTTATTTCACAGCACTACGTAACCCGACTCTACCGCGTGCACGGTGCAGGAAATAGTATCCACTTAGAACCCGTTCCTGTGGAAGTCGACTCACTAGATCCCCGCTATGTGTTCATACTTGATACTGGACTTACTATTTACTTGTGGTAAGATTTTTAAACATCTGTCTATTTAATTACTTAATTTATGGATTCAGTCGTTACTTTGTGGAAATCCATATTACTAAAAATGGATGGGAATTACTTTGCTTTCCTGCGAACTCAGTGAAGGTTAAGTCGTGCAAAATAGCTGCGCTTGTGTTGGAATTTTTTCTTCATCTTCAATCAACAACTCCTGAAGATGCATACTAGAGAGGCGAAACTCGTGTGAAGTATATTTTTGGTGGTAGTGTGTTTTTACGTTATGCTGACAGAGGGTTGTTTAAATTAACAGCATGGAAAAATAGTTCCATGCAAGCCCATCTATTTTGCGCTATTTAAATTTTCACCGGGTTCGTGAAGTAGCAAAATAATGTACTTCCGTTTTTATAATATATTAATATGACTTAAATCTACAAATTTCCTGTTCTAAGTATAAAAATAATGAAACTAAGAAGACACTACGGGTCGTATTCCAAAACTCTACTCAATGCTCAAGTCAGGATTTGAGTATGATTTCAAGCACTGGAAATCATACTCAAGTCCTTGCCATTAAGGTCGTATTTCCAGTGCTTGAAATCATACTCAAGTCCTGACTTGAGCATTGAGTAGAGTTCTGGAATACGACCCTACATCACGAACGCCTACACTCGAATCAATTTATGAAATTTCTTTTACAACTTGGTTCCACCAAGCAACAAATCCGAGATGTCACCTAATGTCTAAAATGTTTAATCACTGAAGCGCTGAGGTCAAGGATAAAAGAAACAAACCACAAACTCATAAGCGGAACCGATTATTTTTTGGATGTCGATTTAAGTACGGTAATATGTAAAATAATTGTACTCAGGAATGGTAAGAAAGCGAAGAACACTGTGAAATCCAAAGCTCGTCTATTCGCGGAAAAGATAAACAAAGAAGAGAGGAAGAACAAAGCGGAGTTGATCACCGAGCCGCCTGGCAAGGAACCTAAGAGCTTTTGGGACATACTTGGTTACGCTGGTGACAACCCTTATGTACCGAAGGTAATTTCTTAAAACAAGTTAAAGTTTAACTAAAAACAAAATAGGTGACACATATTGACATATTTTGTAGGCATATATTTATATATTCTGTACGCATATATAGATGCATTTTAGACATGCCAATTTTAAACTCTTTAAACAGTATCTCTGCAGCAAAAGAGCAATTGTCGGCAGTTGTCACAACTGCGTTTATGAGGTATGTGTGTATGCTGTGCAATTTGTAAAAATACTGCATGCAGCAGAAATTACCCAGAGATAATTCAGATTATGTATGCGTATATTGACGTATTGCATTATGTTAATGTATTGTTATGCATGTCAGCAGTAAGTGTTGCATCTGGGCAGGTTAGTACGACAGCATCCATGCTGCATGGTGTTTCGTTAGTCCATAAGCATTAAATTGTACAGTGTGGCTGAACAGGAAATTAGCAGTTCTAAAGCAGTTACAAATTACATATTCTGTATTAGCCCAAAGCAGACTCGCACGGCGGCGTTTCTACTTTCTCGGAAGCTACTATGGAAGTATATATATAATTAGTTGAACAAAATCCTAAATATTTATCCTTTGAGCAAATCTGAATGTAACGTGCACGCGCACATGCATGCACGCACATACAGCCACACACACACGACCTTTTTTAAAGTATGTTTTCCAATCTCAACTGTAACTAACAACTCAACAGGACAAAAAAAGTTATTGTATAAAAGTTGTAGTATATCTATGTCGATTTAGGTGGTGGACAGCCAGGAGATTCGCAACACAGGTTTTTTTCTCTGAAAGGAATCTTTTATCTTTTAATATTAAGATATTGTACCAAAACTTTTGTACTTCACCCATCGAGTATATGACCAGAAATAGGGACGAAATAAGGGCCTTACATTCCTGGTAACTCATCAGTGATACATCAGTTATAAATATCAACTCTCGTTTGCACTGAAATATAGACAGCGCCAACAACTGACCTGTGTGTACGTCTCCGTATATTCCAAAAATATTATGTAGTTATTGTAATAAAGATAATCAATCACTCTAACAATGGCGTGCTGTATCATTCGGTGGTGTGAGGAAAAACAGCAAAACATCTAATTACAATACAAACGGAATCAAATTTCATCGGTAATTAAATATTTAAAATGTAATTTTGCAATATTCGTCCATTATAGTAAAGCTCAAGTTAACTGGTTGATTTGAAGTGAAACAATTGACGACACCCGTTAATTGTTTCGAATTTGGGCTGACCAATCGGAGCGCAGTTGTCACAGTAATGTTTGTTTTTTTTTTTGAAGGACACTTTGCAGTTGGCCGCTGACGGTCTTGACTAACCCGTAAAATAAACTTAAAGCTAAGTAGCGGGGCTGAGGTCGCCCAAGTGGGCACAGACCGAGGTCTGTAGTAGTAGTCTTCAGTAGCACCCTGAGCTGAGGCTCAGGACGCTACTGAAGACTTTCGTCAGAGGGGCGTGCTATAGGAGAGAATCTACCAGTGTACGTGCTGAAATGAGGGGTGTCACAGTAATGATAGGGCAGAATAGTTTTCAAACAAATTAAATGACATTTCGTCTCTATTTCTAACCAGAAAAAGAATATTTATTAGAAAGAATATTTATTACTCTCGACAAAGGTGAAGTCATCGAGTATACAACCGTATACTCGAATCAAAATACAAATACATAAATATTTATTACTCTCGAGTATACAACCGTATACTCGATGACGTCACCTTTGTCGAGAGTAATAAATATTTATGTATTTGTATTTTGTATATTTGTATTTTATATATTAGCATAACTTACAGATATATTACGTATGTACATCCCTTAACTACAAAATGCCTGGTCCATAGGAGCATGTCCCAGAAGACTTCACCTGGGCTCCACCGCGTCTGTACCGTGTGGAACTAGGCATGGGCTACTTAGAGCTCCCTCAACCCGAAGCCACTCCGCTCTCGCGGGAAGTACTCGCCACTAGAAATGTTTATATTCTGGATGCACATATTGATGTCTTTGTTTGGTAAGTACGTTTTAAATACAAATTATACTCCATCTAACCATTTATTTAACTTATGTCATATGCATGCCTCCGAAACTCCGTATTTATTGACATACAACAGTAGCCAAAAAAAACAATATTTCCTGGTGTATTTTATTTTTTAATTTTAGTGAAACGGCGTGCTCTTTAACTCCGATATTTATCGAGCCAACAGAGTATGTAACGAAGATTATTCAAATTGATAAATTTTGGTACCTGTCGGACAGGTGTCTAATAAATCATAATGAAATAAATAATTATAATAACTTCTTATTGTTTATTTTGATGAATCGTCAGATTATTCTCCATATGAACGGGAATCATCACTTTAATCTTTAACGTTAATTATTACTTATTGAGTACACAATGTTGAATATTTTATGATCAAGGCCGATATTAAAGCTGTAAAATTTCCTTTTTAGTTTGTTTTATTTCACCTTTATTTATTTCACAATTACGTTACAGAGCACATGTTAGCAGAAAAACATTTTGACAGATGACAGTATAATAGATGCGTTTCATTTTACAATATAACACACAAATTGTCATACGCAATATCACGATCCCAATCAAACAATGTCTTCTTTTTTGAACCCACTCACATTCACGATTAAAACTTCTTCGTAAATAAAATCCATTTTTATAAAAAGTCGAATCGGAAACGCAATAGGACATCACTAATGGGTTAGAATTCGAGTTGTCAAAAGTTAAATAAATGGTTAGACGGAGTATAGCCTAAAGCACTGATACGAAGGAAGCGTAAGTCTGAAATTATAAAAAGCCATTAATACTAAAAAAAAATTAGGAAATGAAACTATTTTTCCTGATTTAAAGCGCATATATATGTTTTTTCAAACAAATCAACGTTTCAGGCCCTTTACAGGTCCCATGGTCACGGTTGGCGGAGGTGGTACAATCATCAACCAGTTGTGTCTAATATGAATGCAAACCGCCCTATTTTTTCACTATAGTTTAATTTTTAAGTTTTGTAGTTTATGACTGTACCACCTCAGTCAATCGTGACCATGGGACCTGTACAGGGCCCGAAACGTTGGTTTGTTTAGAAAAAAAAACAAGTATACACGATTTAAATTCGGAAAAGTAGTTTCATTTCCTATGTGTAACAATCGCGAAACCTAAGACCTCGATAATAAAAAAATTAGTTACAAAAATAGCTATTTGGTACTCGTCGTGACATCTGGTGTACCAAAAGGTACTAAATACCCGACTACGCTTTCTTGTATCGCGATTAGAAGTGACTAACTGAAGACAGTTATTAATCCAGGCTTAAAGTTCTGCAAAGCTCGTTTTGTACACACGAAACACTTGTTTAGCTCGTCATTTTTATTTATATTAATTTTAATTTTATATAATTAATTTATTTTTATTTATTTATATAAACTTGTTTAGCTCGTCATTTTTTTAGCCGACTTAACAAAAAAGGATGAGGGTCTCAATTCGACTGTATTTTTTTTTGTATGTATCGCGATAACTCTCCGGCCGATTCTGTTGATTTTTTTTTGTTGGAAAGAGGGTACCTCAGTATTGGTCCCATTTAAATTTAAAGAAAATATTCCTCTAAGGGTGCCAAACTAGAGATGAATACAATATAAGGATGAAGCATCTTCAGTACATATTATGGCAGACTCGTACAGTAAAACAGGTGGAGAATTTTATGACGTGGTAATTTCGATTAGCGCCAAGTATTGTCTGAATATAGTATAACAGACCATAATACATCTATAAGGAACAAGTACATGTATAAGGAACAAATGTATACAAAATTAATGTTGTGTATATTTATACAAGTCAAAAGAAGTTATGTCTGTACTAGACATAAAAAATTTTTTTGGTTTTTTTTTTGTATGATAACTAAATGCTATGTAAAGAAAACAAATTGGGAGAAATTTTAGATTTTGTATTATTTATAAATTTACATTTTCTTCAACGGACTCGATAAATTGACCTAAAAGACAAAAAGTCCTCAAACGAAGTAAAATGAAACATTACTTACTTTTCTCATCTTTGACTACTGATGCAAAACTTTTGTTTGTTTTGCAAAGAAAATCAGACTTGTACTTTTGATAAAATACGCGTCAATATGTAACAATGTGTGCGTGCGGTTTGTATGTTTTATACGCATGCGCCCAACAGAAGACTATTACTGAGATATTGTCCAATGTAGTCTTACGCCAGGGATCGCAGACATTTTAATTTAATTATTTATCATATTGTTTCTTATTTATTTAAAAATACGTCTCCTCTTTGGCGTAGACTGCCCTGAGTATAGCTGCAATATGGCTTGGTCTATTTGCATTACATCATTAGACCATTATTTATTATTTACTTTTCGTTACAGGTTCGGCAAGAAATCTTCACGACTAGTACGCGCGGCGGCGGTGAAGTTAGCCCAAGAATTATTTAACATGGTCACAAGACCGCCACATGCTCTGGTCACTAGACTGCAGGAAGGAACTGAGACGCAGGTAACTTTTTACATAAGTATATTTCGGTGTTACAATCTATACTCGTGTTATAATGTATATATGGTTGTTAATAGGACTGGCAACACTCAGAGAAGCCTCTTAAGAAATATGTGTGATTTTGGGGAGGAATAAATCGTACTCTTGTAATAATTAAGCCACATGTGCTTTTTTCATATGAAAGTCATTAAAATAATACATGAAACAAATTATATATATTATTTGAAATTGTATAACTCTTACTAAAAAAAAAATCGATCAATTTCCAAAAGTTGTCATTTTGCAGATGTGGCCTTATTAAACCAAGGATGGGAAATATCATTTTAAAAACTACGTAGCCTCGGGTCTCATAAATTCCCAAAAATCTCTCGGGCACAGATGGGCAAGTGCTAGGCTGCGCAATTAAATGTGTGGTAAATCGAGTTTTGTTCAAATTGAATGATTTTACTACAAAAGTTTATGCTTTATGATCTAGATGATTCGATTTGCCTTTCTATTGAGTGGATTCGTTTGAAAATAGCATTGAGATAAAAATTGTTACGAAAAATCGTATAACCTTAAATCTATTTTCATAAAAATCTAATCGTAATATGCATCCATAAGAATGAGAATGTTTTTTTTTAATCTCTCTTTGGATTAATTCACTGACACTGGCACAAGCCACTTGGCCCCTAGGCCGCCATGAAGAAAATATTAATAGTGAGAATCCACAGGAATACAAGGTGGGTATTGTAAGGTGTTGCCTCTTTTCCGTGAAAAAAAAATTTTTTCTGACCACGATTTTGGTCAGAAATGGGTTAAAAACCGGCGCTTTGGGTAAAAACCCGGTTAATACCCGGACGGGTTGATTGGATTTTATCCCACTGCCCATATCTGCTCTCAGTTCATAGTCTCCTTCTCGAAAAGAAAGTTCTAGACGACAGTCGTTATAATGTTGTACTTCGTCATTTTAACAAGTTATAATTATTAATATATTAAAATTCTTCAAGTGGCAATGATAAACCAATAGGAACGTTCGCAGGTGTTTAAGACGTATTTCCTGGGTTGGGAGGAAGTGATCGCCGTGGACTTCACGCGCACAGCGGAGTCCGTCGCCAGGACCGGAGCTGATCTCGCAAGCTGGGCTAAACAACAAGAAACTAAGTATGTAATACTTTTAAATTTGTTATTCAAGTACTCCATAGAGTTCACACTGTCACCAGTTTAGAATCTCATTAACAACCAAACATATAATACAAGGGTGTATGTGGCGGTTAAGAGCCTACTTTTTGAGGTTTTGCTTTTTGAGCCTCTACGCGCCGTAAACGCAAGCTCAAAAAGCAAATTGTTGCGTTTGTATCGATTCAAACGTACAACGCTACACAAACTCGCGCAAGAAGCGCATTCGAAGTGCGTCTGCGGCGCATATACGCGCAGACGACGCCCGTTTATAATAATAATAATAATAATAAATTTATTTATTTAGGCATAAATCCCATTAATTTACAAAATTACATATAATTAAATTTAAAAATATAAAAATTAAAAAATTAGATTAAAATTACACTATGATTAAAAACTGTGAAATAATATTAATTACAAAAACGCCTAAAAACAACAATAGCATCGCGAAAAAGTGACTTGCACCAATAAGTTTTTCGAGTTCTTTAGCCTCTCAGTAAAAGACAATTTTCGTTTTCTCATTAAAGCGTAAAAATCGTCCACCCTGTTCAGGGCAAACATACCAGATGCGCTGCAACGCCATGACAAACCCAACATGGTACGAAATGCGTTATTATACTGCACCCGCAACATGCCGAATGACCGTTTAGTGTAGCTATACCACAGCTGACTGGTATAAAACGCCTGACAGTATGCCCGGAACAGGGTGACCTTTACCTGGTCTGGGCAGCGCGCAAACCGCCGTGTCAGCATATTGCTTTTTACAGAGATGGCTCGGCGCTGCCTCTCAAGGTCCTCATTATCCGTGAGTCTATCGGTAATAATGTGTCCTAGATATTTGAAAGTAGATACCACTTTTAATGTTGACCCAAGTAATGTAACGGGTGCAACAATCTCAGGCCCTTTGTCATATTTGAATATCATAACTTCTGTCTTTTTCACGTTGTAATGAAGACCATGAGAGACAGCATACCGCTCACATGGCAATCAGTTTTCTCATTCCACTAATAGAGGGACTTAACAATGCCATGTCGTCAGCGTAGCTGAAGTTGTTTGCACATTCTCCAGGGACGTGACAACCGACTCCTGCACTGCTAAGTTCCTCCATCAGGTCATTAACATAAAGGTTAAACAAGACCGGTGACGTCAGCCCGCCCTGCCCAACCCCGCAGACCATCCTGTATTCCTCAGAGAACGCATCTTCCCAGCGTATCACGTTAATTTGATTCCCGTACCAGTATCTCAACAGACATGTTACACTACTTGGCACACCAGCTTTCATCATTTTTGACCATAGTAGCTGGTAGTTTATGGTGTCAAAAGCACGGCTTAGGTCGAGAAAGCAGCCATACACAGTTGTTTTTCTTTTTAAGTAATGCTTTATGGTATTTTTTAGGCAATATATATGGCACCACTGAATTTAAGAACGTATTTACGATTACGTTATTATATACGATAGACGTTATTTTTACGATTTTTCTTTTCCAAAGCAATAAAGCCAGCGTAAGCAGTGTTGTCTCAACCGACGCCATTGTACTACTCTTGAGGAGATTGAGGTTCTTTATCAAAATGCGCGACTACAGTGAGTCTGAGGCGCATATACGCGCAGATGACGCGCGTTTACGACGCCACTGAATCTGTGAACGTGTGCCAAGGTTTACTCACTGCAAATGCATAGCGTTTGAATCGCGTATACGTGCGTCATCTGCGCGTATAAAATACGCCGTGTACAAAGACTCTAATGAACCGCATTCTAACTGCAATCTGTCAGCTCCTGTGACTACGCACTTAGACTTCCAGTCCACATAGATATGAGCGTTTGGGATTTGTTTCTGATGTTGACTTTATATGAGTGCCATTTTCTTTATTTATTTATTTTTTTAATTTATTACTTACGAAAGCATTTGTAATCATTTTACTTTACACTTTTAAACATAATCAGATTATGCATTAACTGATTATTTTCCAAGATTACAAATACAGTAAATTGAGTCTTTTTCAATAATTTAATACCTTGTTCCCAGGGCCGATCTTTCAGCTTTATTTACGCCTCGACAACCTGCAATGCAAATCTCTGAAGCGAAGACCCTCGCTGACGAGTGGAACGAAGATCTGGAAGCCATGGAGCCGTTTGTACTGGAAGGAAGACACTTCTTGAAACTACCGGAACATGAACTAGGAATTTTCTATAGCTGTGACTGTTATGTCTTCCTTTGCCGATACGTGCTACCCGTTGAAGTAAGCTTATATTTATTTTATTTGAAAATATATTATCTGGTTTCCCCGCTTTATTTTTTTATTAGTGACAATCATAAATTATGGTGATAATATGCCTTTAAAAGAAAATTAACTGCAAAAATTTTTAAATAATTAATTAAGTTACTATAGTATTTCTCAGTGTATTCTATTACTATCTAATTTATAATATTTACGTACGTTAATTTGTCAAAAAATTTTTTTAGTTTGTATTTTGAGATTGCCGTAAGCAGTTATAATTGTTGTGTTTACAATGTAGAACACTCAAATCAAATAAGATAAACGTGTTGTGAACTTAATGTTAGTGTTGCTAATAAATAAAAAAGGCCAGCTATTAGAACGCGAGCCAATGATTATGAATAAATAAGAACAGGTGGAGAAAATTTCACACAGATCCGACGTTGACAAGTGCCCGATAGCGACTGACGGGGCAGCGAGTGACGCAGCGTGGCACTCGTTGGGCAATTATTAAGTTTTGAGATAAATGTGAATTTAATAACTATAGGGTTTCAGTTGAAAACCAAAATTTTGCATTTCTCTGTAGTACTTAAAGTGAAATATCTCCATATAAAAACTATGTGCAAAGTTAGATATTTTATTATTTAATATTTCGTTTTAGACCTTTATTTTAGCCCATTTTCGGGATTTTAAAGATCAGGTAAAGTACATCCTATCGTGTAACCAATTAACACATTCTTTAGACAATATCCTTTAAATGTATCGTATATTTTTTATAACGCCGTTATTTAATAGTAAATACCTAAAACATTTGATCACCGTAACAGTTTTCACCGCTTCTCCTCTGGTAACTAGCCTTAAAAAAGTTTCATTAACATTTCAATACCCACTTCATAACTGGCCCTCGTCTTGCCCAATTTTTCTGTAATCGAGTCTACTCAAATTTTCAAGTAATTCTTTTATAAATTGGTAATTTGTTGAAATTTGCCGATCTGAAATTAATGGGCGGTGCTAACACGTGCTATAATTTCTCTCTGATTAATTTAAAAATTTTTTCCCAGCCGGAGGACGAAAGCGAAGGATCCCACACCGGCGCCGGTGATCCAGACGAAGAATCAGAAACGGCAACCTGGGTAGTTTACTTTTGGCAAGGTCGAAAAGCACCTAATATGGGATGGCTGACATTCACCTTCGGGCTTGAAAGGAAATTCAAACAACTTTGTAAGCGTCTCGATGTGGTCCGAACACATCAACAACAAGAAAGTTTGAAGTTTATGGCGCATTTCCATCGACGATTTATTATTAAAGATGGCAAGAGGAATGCTAAGCCGGTGAGTATGGGCGAGCTACATAATATGTTCTGGAACTTCGATCTAGGCTGCAAGCTGAGTAACTAGTTCTGGTTTGACTCTTCACCATCTAGGCCATAGGTTCCCAAACTTTTTGGATCACCGCCCACTTAGGAAAAATAAAAAAATCTCATCGCCCACCATCACAAAAAATCACGAGGAAGAAAAATTATATATTTGTTAGTTAGTTTATACAGATAAATCGGATTTCTTTTTTCAAATGCGGTAGCAACCCCTGGACAACATCAACGCCCGCCAATTGCTTCCGAGGCCCCTACCGCGCCCCAAGGACTTTTCAGCGCCCACTGGAGGCGGTAGGGACCACCTTGAGAAACTATGATCTAGGCAAATAAGTTACGAATTAAAAACGAAACAAAATAATTTAATATAAAGAAAATAATAAATACACCATTGCGCCTATTTGTCGCGCTATTATAATAAAATTTATAGCATTTATAATACTAAAGAATCAATATAATTAATAATGTTTGTCAGGAGGGTGGACGTCAGCCAGTAGAGTTGTACGAGTTACGTAGCAACGGGTCAGCACTATGCACTCGCCTTGTCCAAGTCAAAGCTGACGCATCGCAACTGAACAGCGCTTTCTGGTAAGTTGCGAACAATATTAACAAAAAAAATATTGTATAAAAGGCCTGCCAGGATCACATGACAAATGTGGAAATAGAAAATTGTAGCAAACACTTGATTAATTGTAATGAAATATATAATTCGACTCATCCGTAGAACAATGCTCTATGTACAAGACTACTTGTTTTCAGGACAAATTACATTCCGTTCGTTTTTCTTCGTTGTGGATGTCAGATTGACCGTTGTTCGATTTTATATTTCCGAAACGAAGTAAGACATATAAATTCTCAAAAAACACCTTTATATAGGTCTTAGTTTGAATAACGAAATTATTCTCGTAACGTACTTGTTCTCTTTTTCTCACAAACACAATCAGTACTCAACTACATACATTTGCACGGATTTGAACAAACATTTTCCCTTTACTTCGTAGCTACATCCTAAACGTGCCGCTAGAGGGCGCGAATCAAGAGTCGTCCGCCATCGTTTACGTCTGGATTGGTAGCAAAAGCGACGCCGACTGTGCCAGGCTTATAGAACAGATAGCTGAGGAGAAGTTCAACAACCCCTGGGTCAGCTTGCAGGTAATGGAATCACATTGACTCCGTGGCCCTAATAGAACAATAGTGGACAGTTGGCTTCTATATGGAAACGGAGGATGTGACATGCCACTGCTACCTTCACATACGGGTTTGATGCATCATCATTCTATTGCACTGCTGTCAGTGTGATATCACATTTACCTGACGAGCGACAAATTTTTCACTTCTCATACTCTAAAAGTACGTTAATATAGCCTTACGTAGCGAGAGTAAAGTGCATCCTTTAATCCCTAGGGAGTAAAAAACATCTAATTTTTTAATTTACTTCGAGTGAACAAACTCAGACATCTAGTAGTTTGGTTCGGTTTTAGTTCCGTGCCTTTATCGCATAGACGGTGGCGCCATATAATTTTTCCGCGTTAGTGCGGTTGTTGTAAATACCGCGATAACTTCAGAATTTTGGTTCGTAATTTTGTTGTAGAACGAAAACGATTGAATTTTTTTTCTTACAATCGAAGTGAAAAGTAAAGTTTTCACCGCAAGACTAAAAGCCGATATAAACCCTCGGAGTATTAGACACTCTCGTTAACGCTCGAGTGTCTAACCACCTCGGGTATATACACAGGGTGTAAATTTGAAACGGGGCAACAAGGCCAGCCATCTTAATCGTTGTAGTTACAGGAAAACGGTTCTAGAAGACTATCCATGAATTTTGAAGATATTTTTATTGGCATTCACAGATTTTGAAAAAATGGTACAGTTAGCAAGACAAAAGACAATTTTTGCAAAACTTTTTTTATGCCACTCGATCCGGTCTCTATATACGGTATTAATAGTCTCTATAGGACTTAGGACCAACTGAGGTAAGGGTACTCGAAATGTCAGAAATCACAAAAAACTTTTTACCATACATTTTATAGGGACATATTTAATAATTAGTTATTCTAAATGTAAATTCATGGATAGTCTTCTAGAACCGTTTTCCTGTAACTGTAACGACTAAGGTGGCTGGCCTTACTGCCCCGTCTCAAACTTGCACCCTGTATAGGCTCGTTCTAGTCCTTCGATAAAAAAATATACTATTATACAAAGTTTCTCATGAACAATAATTCTGAAATTAAAAAAATATTATCTCTATTATATATATAATATGAATAGCGATCTCTGATTGAACGCAATCGCCGTAATTGTACTACTAAATTTTGTAGATGTCAGGCTCGTCGCTTGCTGCAACAACCGCGTTAAAATACAGAGTGGTCACATTTGCAACCAAAAACCATAAGCTAGACCAATAGTTGAATATAATAAAATACAATTTAAAATGCTTTGTGGTACAGGTATTAACGGAAGGCAGCGAGCCAGACAACTTCTTCTGGGTGGCTCTGGGCGGACGAAAGCCGTACGACACAGACGCTGATTACCTAAACTACACCCGTCTATTTCGCTGCTCTAACGAAAAGGGGTACTTCACTGTGTCTGAAAAGTGTACTGATTTCTGTCAGGTAAGCTTTTAACCGACTATAAATAGGAGAAGGTTATCATTTATGTTGCAAGATTAAAAAAAAACTATTTAATAATACATTAATTTTAAACCCTTACTGCCGAGCACAAATCAGTAAATGCTTTCGCTGCGTGCCATGCGTGTTACTACATACTTTTTTATGCCGTAAATATAAATAAATAACAATAAAATTAAATAAACAACGCACACACTCATAGCCCCGCACTAGGGAAACCCTGTATCGCGGATGTTATGGACACGCACATAGGTAGACAACCACAAATTACACCCAAGCTTACGACAGAAATAAATGTACACCATACAAATATTTCTCCTGGCACGGGAATCGAACCCGGGACCTCTGGATGGCAGTCCAGGGTGGTAACCGTCAGAGGCAGTTCAAATTATAAATAAAATTAGTTCAATTTAGGTTTGGTACAATGAAAGCGTTAATGATCGTTATCGTTAAATATTGGTTTATTCTGCTTTTAACTCTGTGCGCCAATAACGCTAGAAAGTAAAAATTTCGAATCCATAATATTTCTTGTTCAAATTCTGTGGACGCATGTTCTCATACACAATTATAACTACTGAACAAAATAATTGTTGTGATGCAATAGGACGACCTAGCGGATGACGATATTATGATCCTGGACAATGGCGAACAGGTGTTCTTGTGGCTCGGTGCCAAGTGCTCGGAAGTCGAGATCAAGCTCGCATACAAGTCTGCACAGGTAATAAAGAATTGTAATTTATTTTACTGAGCAAAATAATCACAGTTGTCGTGTGACATCATTAATATACAGTCTAAAGACATTCAAACACGCAATATACGATAAATGGATCGTAACAAGTGAAAAGCTCTGCCTATCTCAATGGGAAAACAGCTTGAAATGTCCATATATATGTATAATTTAATGAAACGAGGAGCTCTTGGTAGTAAATATAAAGAATGGAAACGAATTTTTGAAGTTCATATACACTATGTAACAAATTGTCAAGAAGGTTATATTTAACAGTTTTGGTTTCTGTATAATTGAGCAGCAAGTATGTAGAAAACAGTAGCTACATAATGTAATATAGAATACCTGTGAAACTTTGCTTTTGTGCCTATCACAAGGTGGTTACATAGCTATGTAATGGTATTTACATAATCTTACATATCTACACATACATGTGTAAGTTCTTTGTCATCAATTTGTAGAATATTGAAATATAATATTCCCTTTTTATTGCAACTTTTTGTTGTCCTCACACAACCACAAAAGCAAAGTTTTTGCAGGGAAATAGAGTTTTTTTATGTGGTTTTAACCAAGTTAGGAAAAGATATTGATAACCCAAAAACAGAACTTGTGTTACATGGTGCAATCGGTATTGTAGTATTGGTCACTTTGTCAAAGATGTCATAAAATAACAAATGGCTTTTGATTATTGCTCTTATTCCTAAGTGACATTAAATATACATACGTATGTTAAATAGTAATGTACAATCGTTCAATTTATATAATCGCCACTCAAGCAGCAAAATTTGCATTAGCCATTTTCTTTTTGTAACTTACGTGTATGTCACATTTAATTCTAACTATATAAATAATCAAAATTATAAAATGCTTTCATAGGTATACATTCAACATATGAAGACTATGCAGCCGAATCGACCACGCAAGTTGTTCCTCACACTGAAGGGCAAGGAATCTAAACGGTTCACCAAATGCTTCCATGGTTGGGGTGAGCACAAGAGACCTCCAGAATAAAGTATTGGTCTGACTAGCCCTAGATTAATGTATTATTTTATTTTTAATTCCATTTATTTCACAATAATTATTGGTATTAATTTTTGTTTTTCAGCATTGTTTGATTATTCACCAATTGAAATTTACAGCACTTAAATGGAACTGATAGAATATTGAACTTCTTTTTACATTTTTGTTCAATATGGCTAATATGTTTGCATTTTTTTGAAGGTATATGATTAGTTAACTGAACAAAAGTATTATTTAACAATTTTCATAATATTTAAGTTATTGTATGAAATTGTTATCTTCCAATTAGTATTAACACACAACTTAAATGATTATGCCAGGAATAGTTACATTTATCAAATTAATAGATCGATTTTAAACAATACATTTTCTAATAATTACCAAACAATTATCATTTGCACAATGTTTATTGTCTATGAAAGTGCTACTATAACCACCGCATATCAATCAGGGCGCCAAGTCTACTAATTTCCTTAAAATCACTGGTTATTCTAATTCCATTGAGTCTCCACTGAGATTATATTGCAATTATAATAATATTTGTCATTCTGCTAAAATCTAATTACAATGGCAACTGAGTCCCAATGGAGTTTCATTGGAATAGTAATGATGGCATTCATTCATACAATCACTAATGATCAATGTTGTCTTATTAAAAGTACCATGGAAATTACTGTGCATATCTTAATTTTCATCTCATTTAATCAGCAATTTAGTCTTGAAATTAAATGTATATTTAATTTTATGTCTAATATTTAAAATGTAGTAGCAGTAGAGCTCCTTGTGAAAGAGATCATCCAGGTAAGTACTACCACCTTATTTATTTGTACTGCCAAGCAGTAATGTGAGCATTACTGCATTCCGTTTTTGAAGATTAAGGGTGCTGGTGAAATTACAGGCACATGGGACTTTTCAAGTGCACCTTAGATCTTTGTGATTTAAAGCTCGTAAGTGGCATTGCAACTGTTATGGACAGGCGTGTCGTTTACTATGAGGTGCACAAAGTGCTTGTCTCATCATTTCGCATCATAATTTTAAAAAGTAATAATAGTAAGCTTCGCCATTGACTGCCCATTGAAGAGCAGAATACCAAAAAATTGCAATGAATAAGTTGAATACTAGCTCGATGACTGGCAAGCCACCACTCTTTTTTAGCAGAATGCCAAACATTCAAAATCCTGCCACTGCCGCTGTCAACACACAACTGAAATGATTTAAAATTAGCAGATTTGGAGCCCTGCTTGTTCACAAATGTTTGAACCTGGTGTTTAGCACTGTATTAATGTAAGGGCTTCCTAGATTGCATTGAAACATGGAAATGAAAGACTGAATTATGCCATTTTCAATTCATATAATTATTCATTTTGCTTAGAAAAACTTTAAAAAGAAAAAGATGAATGAGATTCTATAAAACATTGCTAAATTGAAGAGTAACTTTTGACTAGAATTGAATTTTACCCCCAATATAACAGGACATGCATTTTTGTATTTAGATATTTATTACAATGTACACTCAGCTGTATATAGAAAGCTGTTTACATATACATTACAATTATTGATTATCAAATTGTACTTATGTAAATATAATATGTAGGAACAACTTTATGTTATTAATATAACACAATTTGTAATTTAAAAAATATAATAAATTGTGCGATGTTTGAATTCTAGAACTTCTGCACAAAATGTATTTAACTACATACATTTGAAACAGCTTTTGTAACAATCTTAATATTTAACAATAAATAGTTAATTGAACTAATAAATGAGTTTCTTTGTATACCCGCTTGTTATCTTGAGAAGTATATTTCGCTTAGACACTACTTGAGAGAAAAAGATAATATAAATAGAAATCCTATAAGGAAGACACCATCATGTCTTTTAGTCATCATCGTCGTCGTCATCGGAAGGTACAAAGAGTTCATTCTCTTCAAGAAAATTTGCTATGTTTTTACTGATAGCGGCGCCAATTAGTAGACCAGGCACTACAGTGCACACTATGCCCAACAGACCAAACTGCTTCTTCTCAGGCTCCGGGAGAACAGCGCCAGTCGGAGTCGTTGTTGCTGTCCGCCTTTGCACTATCTGCTCAATTCTGGACAAATTTTTAGTCTGGGATACCAAGCGCGCAAGCCTCGAGATAGTCATTGTGCGTTGAATTTGAAAAATAAAGTAATTTTCACTAATTATTTCTAGACTTTTCTATCGTATTTATAAAACATGTGACACAAAATATGTCAATGACAGTCGACAGCTAGTTTTTCCATTTATAAGTACCAAAGCAAACATATGATCAGCGTTGCCAATGCAATAGTTCAAAATCCCCAAAAATCACGGTTAAAATCCCTAAATTTGGGGAGAACAAAGTTCATATTCCCTACATATCGAGTTTTCATTATTTATTACAAATACATCGCTCAAAAATAATTATAATAAAGAATTGAGAAACTAAAAATGTAATCATCTATTACGTTTGCTGTGTATGTAAACAGAATTTATTTATTTATTTTAATAAGATTCAAAATTAATCAAACAAACAAAAAAAAAAACATTTTTATTTGCCTCACAAAATTAAGTAACTAAATTATTTTGTACCGCATTTGGTTAACGTTAAAAAAATCAATGAGTAAATTAAGTTTCGACCTATATTTAATGTTGACGAGTGCCGAGTAGTAAGGTGTGGAAGTACCAACTGGTCGGCTTTGTTTATCAATAGCTGATTTCGTTTTTCTTCATACCGGGAACGGGCCTAAGTGGGAAAAAGGATCGCGAACTCAACACGCACCGACTGGTAATTTTACAAGGGTAGTATTTAGCCGCTTACCATAAAAGCAAGTTTTTTTACAACCAAATATGCCACTTCACCAACAAAAGTACCTATTGCATATCAAAAGAAAATTAATTTAGCATTATGTACTAAAATTAAAGCATATCATTTTATCGCAATGCATATCTAACATCTAAATAGGTATGTAATATTTCTAGCTTACAACAAACATATGACCACAAATTTATGAGAAAAACATACCTATTTCGCTGAAAGGTACATCAGACTATCGGAATGAAAGAGCATTTTATATGACATAATGATCTAATTGTACAATTTGTCCTAAACAAGATCAACAAAAAAAAATTAAAATTGCACAAAAACATTACAACAAAGTCTAATGCTTGAATGCTTTTTCCTGAAAAACTAAAAACTACTGTTATCAAGCCTTTATTTAAAAAAGGGAATAAGGAAATATGTGAAAACTACCGTCCCATTGCTTTACTACCAGTGCTATCAAAAATATTGGAGCGAATAATTTATAATAGTATTTATGGATTTTTAGAAAAATCTGGAACATTAAAACCAGAATAGTATGGCTTCCAGAAAAATAAATCTACAAATCATGCAATAATTGATTTACTAACAGCTGTATCGGATAGTATCAATAAAAGGGAAGCAGTATCTACAATCTTCATGGACATGACGAAAGCATTTGACTTTGTGTCACATAAGTTACTATTAGACAAAATATATGACTACGGATTGAGAGGACCAGCACATGATCTAATAAAATCATATCTAGAGAATCGCCAACAAGAGACACATATTACATACATGGACAAAAACACGGAGAAAGTAGCCAAATCAAATATTAGAACTGCAGAGCGCGGTATACCGCAGGGCAGTATTTTAGGGCCACTATTATTTATTCTCTATATTAACGACTTGCCAGACCATGTTCAACAAAAGATGATACTTTTTGCTGACGATTCCTCTGTGGTTGTGAGATGCACTAATATTGATGAATATGAACCAACTTTAAATGATGCACTAAGTGACACTATAAAATGGCTACAATTAAATAATCTCGTAGTAAATTTGGACAAGACTAAGTTTATGCAATTCTGCATGCCACAATCACGACCAAAAAATTTTACTATAACCTACAATGCACAAAATGTAGCTCAGGTTGATGAAACAAATTTCTTGGGCCTTACTCTTGATAATCACTTGAGCTGGAAGTCACATATAAATAAGTTAAATACTAAACTTAGTAAATACGTATATGTCCTGAAAAATCTAACGAGAGTAACGTCACAAAAAACTACTCTTTGTGCTTATCACGCCTATGTAGCCTCTAGTTTGCGATATGGTCTGCTGCTTTGGGGGAATGCTGCTGCAACACATATTACACCACTGTTTAAAACCCAGAAGAAATGTGTCAGGGCCATGTTTGGTGTGGGCCAGCGAGAAAGCTGTGTACCCTATTTTAGAAAACTAAAGATTTTAACCTTATCATCTATGTATATTTACGACGCCTGTATTTATATAAAACAAAATCCAGGCAACTTTAATCTAGTGAAAACCAGACATCCCAGGAAAACAAGGAACGAAATAGAAATACGGCCAAAACAACGCCCCACTTTGGAATTTTACAATAGAACGATGTTTATATTGGCACGTAAATTATTTAATAAAATACCAGATGCAGTTAAAGAACTAAATTGTAGGCAATTCAAAATAAAATTACATAATTTGTTAGTTACACAATGCTACTACAATATAAATGATTTTTAATAGATAACATAAAATGTAAAATTTAACCACTGTGCGTGATTGAAATAAGAATTGTGTAAAATATTCGCATGTCAAGTTTTGGTGAAATGTACGATGTAATAATAATATACTATAACACCATTGTAAACTACATTTTTCAGCGAATAAATATCTTGTATTCTTGTATTCTTGAAATTCGTAGTATTTTTTTTGTATTTGCAAGTAAAGGTTCAATTTAGTTCCAATATTATAAATTGCTTACAAGAAAATCAATTGTATAAACGAAGATAATTTATGGAGCAACTTTTGAGAAAAATTACAATAATTTTGTCAAAAGAATTCTTAATTCGTTTAGAGATAATTTAAATTGATGTGCAATCAATATTTTTGTTATGTACACCATATTTTTGTAAATAAATTAACACTTTCGTTGTACACTGAGAAATTAGCAGAGATCTAGTTTTGATACATGTTTTTAAATTATTTTTGATATTAGTTTTGTTAGACAGTTGTTCTATTTGTAGTGAAATATTTTTTTAGATGTGCAAGTTATTTGAATAATGAACATAATTTTATATGTATTGAGTTTTCTGATATGCACTTATATATTTCCCATTTTACAATTCAGAACCAAGACGATCTGATAATAATTATATTTAAGCTGTTTGTTAATAATGCGAGGGATGTGCTATTTTGGAAAACATATCGATATAGTTCATCACAGTGTTTCTAACAATAACGATCAAACTAGCGATGCATCGACAGATGCAAGCTATCGATAGATTAAACAAAATCATAAAATGTTAGAATCCCCACATTTTCCCCACAGCACAAAATTCCCAATGTAGTTGAAATTCCCCGCGATTTGGGGAATTCTCCACAAATTGGCAACCCTGCATATGATGAGCTGTTGTTTCATAAATTCGTTCCTTTAGGAAACAGGCAAAGGTGTAGAACACTACAGCCATGCAAAATAATGATCAAAGAGCTGTGTATCAAATATACAGTTCCGTTTTTTATTGTGTAGTTATAAGTTTGTTACCGGTTTTTAAATGGTATCAAAACGTCAACTCTATTTAAAAATTACAAAAGTGTCACAATAATTCTCTTTGATTTTAGCAACTGTCATACCAATGAAAACTATCGTGACTAAAATGCGAATACATTTTATTTTCGGCGAAGATATGTTTTAATTTACAGTTTAAAAGTATTGAATAAAAATGAACGTTACACTGACAAGTTTGGAGGCTTTAATATGTGAGTATATTATGACTGTTATTATTTGATTTGTGTAAAGATATTTGTTTTATTTAGTTGTGTTTTTTCTTGTTTAGTAAAAGCTACGCATGAAAGTCTGCCATGTCCAGACGCAGCGGCTTTGGAGGCGTTTTGCAAAATAATGCGGGATTCTTCGGAAGGGCCTATGTTGGCGGCGCAGACGTTGGCAGCAAGGATTCATACGCCGAACGCTCGAGAAGCCTTACTCGGCCTTATGATGCTGGATCGGGTTATGAGGCGCGGCGACGCTAGCTTCCATGCAGAAGTGGGCAAATTCCGCTTTTTGAACGAGATGATTAAGCTGGTGTCACCCAAATATTTTGCTGATAGAACTGCACCTGAAGTGAGAACTAGGGTAAGTTTTTGTACAAAGTTTTCATTACAGTGTACTTCAACTTAATAAAAAAGGCAGTGATGTTCCACTTAATTTTATATTAATATTTGAGGAAGCCTTTAGTAATTAGTCTGTTGTTTATTAAATATTATTACATATTTAAAGCTATCCTATAAAACATGAGTTAGTCTATGTCATTTTAGAATGTAGGTGGTATTTTAGTAATTAATATAATTCAGCAGGTACTTTAGTTTATATTGTTAAATGAAGAACTCCACTAAACACTAATTTTCATTTTTGTTTCATTGCATGAATATACTTAAAAGTTTGACAAGTAAATATATTTTAGAGAGTTTGGAATTGTAAAATAATGGTTGTATAAACAAATATAACCAATACCAAAATTGTTGTGAATAGGTTGCTACAGCAATTAAAAAATTTGTCATACATTTATTCTGCTCCTTAGGTACTACAATTACTACATGCATGGTCCATTGAGTACCCTAAAGAAACAAAGTTCAAAGTGGCTTATGACATGCTGAAGAACCAAGGTGTGATTAAGGAGACCCCGCCTCCCCTTCCTCCAGAAGATGTGCCTCCCCCTCGCACAAGAGTGAAAAATGCAATATTTGAAGATGAAGATAAGTCCAAATTGCTACAGCAACTTTTACAGAGCAAAAAGCCTGAAGATCTACAACATGCAAATAGATTGATAAAAACTATGGTTAAAGAAGTAAGTGTATATTACAATGATAGGTTAATTTAGCTTTGTAAATAACTGATAACTCTTTTAAATTTTTATTGAATTGATATTCAATTATTTTTTGTGAAATTACTCCACTAGTTTGTTATAATTATTAATACAAAGATCGAACACTCCGAAAAAATTCCTTCGATCTGGCTGGATTCTCTTTATAACACACATGTTTGAGAAAGTATGGCATCAAAATCCCATTTCTCACATCTCAGGAAGAACGTCGCAGTGAAGCAAACAGCCTTCGTGCACAAGAAGTAGGTGCTGCATTAGACAGTGCTGGATTACTTCGTGACATGCTAGAAAAGGCCTCTGATGCATCTGAGGATGAGGAACAATTAATACACGAACTATATGCGAGCTGCGCACGATTGCGGCCTGTGTTGCAAAGTTTGGCGGCTTCGGATGTTCAAGCCGAGAATTTAAGTAAATATTCCCAGAATACTATAGTATAGCAAAATGTCAAACTAATCCCTTTGGACTCTAGTAGGTTTTCTGACGGAATTATGGCTGGATGTAGAAAGATTACTTAATTTTATTACACTGTACATTTTACAGGTAACTCACAATAGTTCTTACATGTTGTAAATTACATGTTGTAATTAATTTGGGGCTACATCGTCTGTCTACTCTACTTTTATATATTTACATGCAATTAGTTATATATCGGTGTTGTTTAGTATAAAGGGCGTAAGCGACATTTCGTAAATTTTTCAGTGTAGCACGTTTTACGTTTTAACAACTGTTTTAAAATATTTACATGCTGTTTCACTTTCATTTTTTAATTAAATTTAAAATTGAAGTAAAAACAGGATGTAAATATTTTAAAACAATTGTTAAAACCTAAAATAGGCTCCCTGGAAGAGGCTACTAAATGTTGCTTACGCCCTACAAAACACCGCCGATGTAGAATCACTTCGTCTGTACCGAACCTCATCTCCGCCCTTGGCTTGAGTTGAAGATCAAAGATCACATGCCAGCAGTTGGACTATCATTGAGGTACTAAGTAATAAGCAAGAGAAGATGTGACGGTTTCCACTGCATTTGCATAGATTATGTAACCAATCCATGACTCACTAACAACTTGGCTGATATACAGAGTGTAATTGTTAAGTGTGTCTAGGTGATTATCCCGTTAATAGAAGAGAACAAAAACCTTTAAACTGTTATGGAATGTACGTTACCTAATTAGCAATACGGCATCGATAACTTTTTTAAATAAAACTAGAAATATCATCAATGACATTTGTAGACAGATTCTATTCGAAACTAAATTCTTCATTATCACATATTGTTATTACTGTGTCACTACATACTATAAAAATCCAGCTTTCCCTCAACCTATATTCAGGTCCTTTCATTTGCAGGTGACATTCTTCACGCGAGTGACGTACTTGACGATGTATCTGAGAAATACAACGCGTTCGTGGCAGACAAAAAGGAGAAAGTAAAATCCCCTGTCCTAACACAAGTACCTAACAATGATAGCCTATTGGACTTCGCCGGCGTAAATGTTGGCAAAGAGACACCAAAGAGTGAAGTAAAGAAACATGTTATGGATGAATTAGGTGATATATTTTCTGCAGACAGCGGATCCAGTATTAAGGAGCCCTTGAAACCTGTCAATTTAATGTCCTGTGGTATGTTAATTAAATATTATTATCTATTACTTCGAACATTTACTATTCACAGATACTAAGTTTTATGACGTCGAGTTGCGGACACGAGCCCGTCACACCATACCATACTGTGTTTCTAAAAATATTATTTTATATGTAATAATAACGCACACACCCCCTATAATTTTTGTGAAAATACTCCAGTGGTTTGCTGTTATTATTGATACAAATATCCAACACACAATAAGAAAAATTCCATCGATCCGGCTGGATTTGAACCAGCGACAGTTTGCCAGACCGTGTCTCCGCTCTCCCAGCTGAGCTACGGAACGAATCAACAGACCTTACGAATTTCTCTTGTTGTGCTTGTTGCCGGTCTTTGCTTTTGGATTTAAATCTTATTTTATGTTCGCAGGTGATGTAGATGTTTTAGAAGAGAAACTTAATAAAAAGGAGGGTTGGAACGAATTAGACTCTCTAGGGGAACAACTTTTGAAACAATCCTTGCCTGACAACGCCAAGCGATTGGATAGTTTTATTAGGTATTTTGTTTAAAGTCCTCAAACTATTAGAAAATTATCTGGACTGAATTAAGTACAGAAATAATTTAAAAAAAAAATTTTTTAGTGCTAGGTGCATCCCTAGTGAAAATATTTTCTTTATTTGTTACAGTATGTACTAACATACTGTTTCCGTTTCAGCAAACCAGCAAAAAAGATACCAATGAACGCATTAGAAAAATCTTCACCAAACCACGAAGCACCATCAGATAGTGGTACGATACTCGATCTAGATTTCTTTACAAAAAAGCTTGAGTTACAAACGCCAACACCTGACCTGACAGTGGTCACTTCAACAGACGATGTAATGGTCGACATAAGCACAGACGTTGTACCAAATACATCTAGCAATAATAACAATAATCTTGACAGTCCTCTGGACAATATTTTAGATCTAGGTCCACCTTTAGACAATGCAAAGAGTGAAGAACCTCAAGCAGAAACCAAGGAACATTTTATAGAGAAGAAGGACAAGAAAAGTGACGTAAAACCGTTGACTGATATAAATGTGACATTGCAAAGTGTACAACCGAGTAAAGTGCCTCCAACCACCGCTTTTGAGGAGGAGGAAGGATTGACGGTTGTTCTACATTTTTGTAAAGACAAACCCAGAGGCGACGTTAATGTCATTGTGATATCGACTACCAGCAAAAGTAGTTCACCTATTGAAGATTATAAATTTCAAGCTGTTGTTCCAAAGGTAATATAAAAGTTTCACTAAAAAGTTTTACATAAAATCTACTAAGTTTAGTATAAAAAATTACTAAGTCTGTCTTTTTTAAGATGGGTCAATGACATTTGTAGGGTTGCCAGTTTTCATACAATTTTAAATAGTTATGTTGAAGTTGTAGATAGTTTTATCGATAGATTGTGAAAGAAGCTAAAATTTTGCCAAAAATGACTTGAATTGTGAATGTTACGACGTTCTAATGATTACTAATTGCACTATTGCCTTCTTTATACTTATTTTGAAAGTTGGCCGACTAGTATTATTTTTAAGGATTAATTTTTATTCATATACATTTTAACAAGAATAGCAAGATTTGATTATCTATATTGAATTTAAATGATAAACTTTAAAATATGTCTTCTCTTTGTGTTTTTCATAAACATAGTTCTAAAAACAATGAGCTGAAATGTACGAACTTACGAAAATTGACAATTCAATTGAACTTGTGCTCAGTAATTGGATGAATAATGGGTCGAGGGTGATTCATATGAAACAAGTCCGGCTATTTATTCCATAAGCGTGACCAATATTCAGTCGATAGTCGATACAATATTTATCGACTGCAATCACCCAGCTGCTCGCAAACGGGCAACACTTTTGCGCAATGAAATAAACTATAGTAATCTCACGCTTCGACATTCGAGATTTGTATGGGATTGGTATTTGTAGTAAAGCACACGTGTGGCCATTTCCTTACACGTATGCGTTACTAATATACAAGTATCAATCTCATGCTAATTATCTTCGAACGAAGCGCTCCGTATAATTATGATCGCACTTCACTTACAGCTAAGTTCGTTTAGTCACTAATTTATTACTGCAAGTCATTACTAATCTGCTCTTAATTTTCAGGGTTGCAAAGTCCGTCTCCTGACGCCGTCTGGAACGTCTCTCCCAGCGTTCAATCCCTTCCTTCCACCCCCCGCACTCACACAAGTGATGCTTATCGCTCGACCCCCCTCCACACCTCCAATCAACTTGAAATTCGTTATCACTTACACAAGTGAGGATGACACATGTTCCGAAATGGGCGAAATCAAACAGTTACCACTCGACGACATATAGTATATTAAACATATTTATTTGACTTAATTTAATTTTACTTAGGAAATTCTACGAGATAAAATGAGCTGGAGACATGCAAAAGAAACAGATTGGTGTATTTTTAATACAAACATTTTTTATTTTGTTGATTAAGGCTCATACAAGAGATTCTCTTTCTAACTACCTTTAAGCTCTTTGTACTCTTATTCTCTGTTTGTAAGCACGAAACTATTAAAAGTATATCTTTCTCGTTCTTTGTATACTGAATCTCACTGTCAACATGAAGGAAAATTAGGGTCAATTCTGTCTCACACCATTTAAGCTTAATTTGATAGATTTGAAATTAGTGATGTCCCTTTTGACGATTGGGTTCTGTTAGGGTTATCAAACGTGCGTAATTGAATCCATTTTATTTCCCACCTACTTGTAAGAGAGCTAAAGCTTATGACGCAATTCTGAATTATTTGTTATGTGGCCGATTTGCCTTAAGTTTTCCAGCAAACAAAAATAGGATTTTGGTATTTTGGATTTTAGTATGATCACGCACTAGAAGGAAGACTACAAAGTAGTGTGTATAGACGCCTAGACTAAAAGTAACAGCCAAATACAAGAAAACGGTATTTACTACATTATGCACTGTCTTGTTTTTAACAAATTATCCGCTGATCCACTGGATCACTATGTCAAATTTATCCCATGAAAATCATTTTATGATTAGACAAATAGTCGATTAACTTAAGAGTTTTCGTATAAAAGTTGTTCGCGACTAACTTTCGTAACTTTATGCTACGACTTTGTAAAATAGTGTTGTAATGAGGATTGAACAAAAACCTAAATGTTTTTTTACGATTTCTGAGATTTCTAGCACTGTTACTTCAGTTCATCCCAAAGAGACTTTTGATCGTTATCAGAGACAGTATGAAATGGCATGATTTTTTATTTATTTTATCTTGCTGACTGTACCACTTGATCAAAATTTGTGAATGCCAATAGAAATAATTGTAAAATTCACGATCTTCTAGGACAGTTTTCCTGTACCTATAACGATTCAATGTAGCTGACCTTGCTGACCCAACTCAACATGCTACCCTGTAAAAATTATATTAAACGACACTGGGTATTATTTGGCCTTACCCACGTTCAAGTCGTGTATCTAAATTTGAGTAATAGAATAAAAGAAACTGCATTTATTACCTATAGTTCGTATACAATACAATAACATTTTCCATGCATAGTCGTTATCAAGACTAAAATCGCGCTTTATTTAGACTTATGCTTTGATATAGTATGTATTTTAAGCTAGTCGTGAAAACAAAAATTGATGTTACTATAATAAGTAAAGCTATTTATTTGCCAACAAGCAGATAGGATTAACATCGATAAATAAACTGTCTTGTATATGAAAATATATCATTAATCTCCAATTGCCATTCATTTACATTGGTTCTAGTCTGAATTTATACAAAAAAAGCATTTGATTACATTCCAAATATTTTATAATTTGTACCTTGTACTTAAGAATTCACTTATTGTTAAAATTGGATTTTAAAATTTATTTTTGTACTTATTTTATTAGATCTGAAACTGAGCGCAGTATTATAATTATTATTGAATATAATGTACAAATTGTTCGAATTCCATACAAATATGTATAATGTTGCTTTGTGCTGTGCAATACACATGTTTACATGTAAATTTATTTTAGGGAAAGTAATTATTATTATATTATAATACAAATACTTCATTTAGACACCTGTTTTATTTTATTTTAAACCTATAAATAATAAAATACCTATAAGGAGGACGAACTCAGGCTGCAAACTGGACGATATGCAACAGCAACCAGAGCGGCACAGTGGCGACAGCGATACAGGCGGCGGCGCTTGAAGCTGGCTTGTTCTCGAAACCACACATTAGAAAGATGTAACCAGCGATCGTTTTGGGCGGTAAAATGACGTGACGAGAGCGTAATGTCGATACTGTTTAGGGACCTTTTTTTTAGTACTTCTTTTATTAAATATGAGTTTGTGTGAGAAGATGTGACCCCATACTACAAGCAAAGAAAACAAAAAGGCGAGTTTCACCAAAATTACGAGGTCCAAAGACAAAATCCGGTTAAGTTTTGTATTTACCCTAGAATGACTGGAGACTTTTGACTAAATTCTTGAAAATATCAAGCTAGAATTGGAATCTGACTTTAATTATGAATTAGTATTAAAAAAGAATAGCTGGAGATCCAGCAGAAAAATTATACCTGACCTTGAATAAGTAAAATGACAAAATATATATTATGGTTAATATAACGCAGAAATTATTTTTTCCAACGACAACTCAACTTGATTGATCTAAATATACATGTAGGTAAACAAGTGTAATATGTATATAATAAATGTAGGTAGGTTCTAGCGATCATCCACCGCGCGACAACAGCACAATGCAAACCTAGGCATTTTTTGCAGCCTTACAGCGTATGTCGCTGACACAAACATACAAATTTCGCTTATCGTTAAAATTTCATGAATACGACATAATATGGTTTATTTTGGCGAGCTCGGTAGTCCAGCGGTTTGTACTGTAGGCGCCGGATGAGAAGGTCCCGGGTTCGATTCCCGGTAGGACTAATTTAGGAAACGAACTTTTCTAACTGGTTTTGGTTTGGGTGTTGGGATTAGTGCCTCCTAGTGAATTTCGTTATTCTGATACTCATAGCACAGAAGTTGGTGTAACAACCACTGTTAGCACATTATCCAAACTATTATTATTAAAAATGATAAAGTAACTCTGTTACATTTTTACGCCTAAACAGCTAAACCAATTTTGATAAATTGTCGTATGATGTGAGATGGGACCCGGGAGAAGGATATAAGCTACTTTTGGTTACAAAAATAAATCTTAAAGGCGGTGAAATTGTATGGACAACCAACGAAACTGAAAATTCTTATAGTACGGTAATTCTCGGACTAGTGATCACAGTATATATTATCGTATAAATATAACTATATTAAATAATATTGCACGATAAAAAAATCAAATACTTAAATAATGAAAAAGTCCGAGAATGACCGAGTATAGTAGGCTCGCGAAGTAGGTATACATATAGTCTACGCAGACCACCAGGGGCCTGTTTCACGAACCTACAATTTTACTAGGTCACTAGCTACTAGGCACCACGGAATTTTCTAGTACTTGTAATGTTAGTTACATTACAAGTACTAGAAAATTCCGTTTCACAAATAAAAATGTACTTGTGGCTACTAGTAGTCATAAACTGGTAAATAATACTAGTTTAAATTGGTTGTGTACGAGTACATCTTAATTACATACACATTACATAACATAGCTCATGCGACAGGTGGTGTTAAAAAATTGGCGAGAACAATTTCCTGTTCAAAGAATCGTTTGTTTTTTAAATTTGTTTGAAATTGAATAAATTAAAAAAGTAAATAATTATAAATATTTGTACATAACATAGAACATATTTGGGAGAAGAAGATTGAAAATTAATAATTTAAAAATGAAATCAGATTTTTTTTGGATTGCGAGTGGCGTCTCTATCCTATAGGGTCCTGGCAGAATACCAGCGTCGCGGGCGGCCGCGTCATTTATGCTGAGCCAGTGCCTTTTTCACTGCCATGACTTCCAAGTGTAATATTAGTAGATAAGAATATCGTTATTGTTATATATAAGTTAATGCCTATATCATGTATCTGATGTCATGGTGGTGAATAAAGCTTTTATCTATCTATCTATAAAATCTAATATGTAAAGCAATACATTTAAAAATAAATAAGTATAATATTAATAATAATATACGAAAGTAAAAGAAATCTTAAAATTTCTCTTCAAAATGTCGTTACGAGAGCCATACAGACTCAAGTTATAATTAAAAATATTTCAAGTCGTTTAATTCATTATTAAATATTATGTTCACCAATATCGAGCAGTTATCTACGTATCGATATTTTCGGGTCGCAAGCGTTGTAAGAGGAACTTCATAGTTTTCGGCATAATAAAATTTAGAGTATCTAAATTTTGTGGAGAACATTGTACGTATTAATAATTAATTACAGTTAATATAATCAATAACTACTCCGTTAAAGTAAATTAATATTAATTAATCGTAAAGATCTTAAGGGTCCTGCCACTGTACACGTCAACATAAGTTGAAAAGTCCCATATACCTGTAATTTCACCAGCACCCTTACCCTTCCAAACCGAAAGTAGTAGTAATGCTAACTGTTTGGCGGCAGCAATAGGTAAGAAAAAAAAGTTAAAATTTAAAACTGTTTATTACAAATATTAATAACAAGTTACAGTACATTCAAGGTAGAATCTTAAAATTAAACATTATTTATCCTTTTCTAGTGAGTTGCGTTAATATGTAAGGTACAACAATGAAATCAATGACCAGTTTGCGTATGCCTCCTCTGATATTGATCTTTCATATAAAATCTTTTTAATTTGTTTTTGACTTGTATAAGATTTTTATCTGTTATGTCATTTATAAGCATTTTAAGGTGGTACTTCACTGGACGAGCTCTACCGCTATTAAGTTTTTATTTCCGTCGAGCGTTTAAAAAAAAGGCGGAAGAAATAAACACACTAAACAAACACGAAGGACCACGGGCGGGGCGCGGCGGTAAAAATATAAAAAAATTGCTGCTTTATGGTCCATATTAAATAAGAAATCTATTTTATTTGGTAGTTTCGAGGTGAAAATACTCGACGACGTCGTATTATTCCAAATTCTTCCTCACTTTCCGAACATGACGACATCTTTTTCTAAGTGACGCCATTGATAAAATTTTCATATAAGTTTACAATACGCCTTCGACTGGTAGGAATACCCTTGTAATATATGAGTATATTCGGCTAGTAGTGTTTTTCATAAAACAGAACACAGTTTACAATGGTAATAATTGACTAGTAAATATTACCTTGCAACTAATAATTTATCATCGTAAGTACGTGAAACGCACGTTACAATAGTACCTACAAAATAATAAATAAATAACGCACACACTCAACATAGCCCCACACTAGGGAAACCCTGTGTCGCGGGTGCCATGGACACACACATAGACAACCACAAACTACACCCAAACTCACGAGAGAAATAAATGTAAGCCATACAAACATTTCTCCCGGCCCGGGAATCGAACCTGGGACCTCTGCGTGGCAGTCCGGCATGGTAACCGTTCGGCCACGGAGGCAGTTAATATAATATAATAATAATAAAGAGACTAGTAATACTAAACTGATAAGTTTCGTGAAACAGGGCCCAGCTAGTTATTAATATTTTACGAGGGTGATTATGATAGTTTGCATATGTCATGGGCAAAGTTCACATGGTGTTTAAAATCAGCACAGCACACGCAGTGCATTTGATTTAACACATCGAAATGGCCCGCATTTAACTATTTACATTAACCGGGCTAAGTCTAATAATCCATCTTTACGAACTTTGTCCATTTGTAAGGTCTCAACTGCTGACTACCTATAGTACTACCATGTTCAATAATACTACAGAAGGTATTTTATAAAACATTTATTCGTATAATATTTAAAAAAGCCTTTTAAATAGGAAATATTTACAATAAATGCAGTGAACACAAGTTGAGGTATTTACATTGTATTTATTGGCTTGACTGAATTTTCTTTCCAATCAAAGGCCTGGCGTTTTTGTTTTTCATTTTGTTTCCAAAAATGTAGCGACGTCTACAATACTTCGGTAGGTATGTTACATTATTATTGTAAACTAAATGTCTTTTAGCAAAATCACAAAACACCTTTTTGTGATATCATGCCTTTGCTAATCCACTTGCACACCTTATGCGAATCACTGTACCACATCAAAGACACGACGCTTCAGTACCCCATTTTATGCAACTGTCAAGTTAGAATCCTCTCTAAAGAATAATATTAATTTGGCCATGGCCAGAAATAGTGAACGAATGAACAATATTATAAAATAAATAGTCAAAATTTGAGCAGTTTTAGTGACAATTTAAGCATGAAGTCTAGCTACAATCCTTACCTCGTATGTGCATTTGCTGTTTACAAAGTATACTGACAAAATTATATCTTCATCATAGTCTTAATATCAATAATGATACTTAAAAAACAGCCTTATTGAGTCGAGTCACCTTAAACTCAAATGTATCTTCTTGACTGCAATCTCCAGACAGCTTGTCTCAAAAACAATAAGAAAAATGGTGTCCTATTACATTTATAACGTGTAACACGATTCTACTTTCTCCTGAATTCCTCTTCGAACTATTGCAAATAGGGACCTACATACCTGTATGTATAGTAGGCATTTTGGTCAGATTCGGTTTTTGTGGAAAAGACAAAGATTCTTGGACAAACTATGTTTTTACTGCTCAAAGAAAACCTACGTGCATCAAAGCGTCAAGAGAACGACAGCACTATCACATTTCAAAAGAATTTGTGCTCTATAATTCGACAAATAATGGGTCGGGGATGATTCAAATGAAACAAGTTCGGTTATTTATTCCATAAGCGTCACCAATATTCAGTCGATAGTCGATAGAATATTTATCGACTGCAATCACTAGTTACTCGCAAGCGCTGTCATTTTACACCGTTTTTAAAAAAGACAGACTATATGTACCTTAATTATTTATCGATGTGGTCAAATGTATATTATATAAATCTTCAGTGAGGATTCTAGTAGTCAGGAGGATATGATTCTAAGCGTGGCATCACTAGAGACGACTTCGCCACGGTCAATGAGAATAAACTCATATGAAATAATTTTGTTAAAGACAGTACAGTACTTAATATATTATATCTTAATCTTAATATGTTACGTTCACGTTTTGCCATACTGCGTCGTTTTAATGTGTCTATAGTGTACACTACAACGTGACATTCATAGACCAATGTCCTTTCCATTCCTATCTCCAATACAGGATCTAGTAGTATCCTTAACTATTGTTGTATATACACACACAGTAGACACGGTACGAGTGTGTAACCCACGAAATAAAATTGTTATTCCAAGTCAGACAAGTATGTCATACTATATTCTATCATTCTCTCTTGTATGATCGTCCAGTGGTACGTATCTATTCCTATGGATCTAGCCCCTTTGCGTTAGATGGCCTGGTCTTTAAACGCCAAGGCTGTAATTGGTTTCTGATGGCCGCAGTACTCTCTTTCTAGTGTTCCCTTCTCTAAGTCCCAGAGACGTGCGTAACTGTCTGATGACCCTGAAAAACAAGAGATTTAACATCAACATTAAAAAAAGTCGGATCATTGGTACAGTAGGTTATTGCCACAATTGGTTGTTTTGTGTTGAAGAATAAAGTCTTTTTATTTATTTATTTATTTAACTTGCCCTATAATATGATTATGGCAACGTTTTTATATAGGATGAAAATCTAGAGCGGCTATTACTATAATTTATATCTAAAATGTGCAATCAAACTTACCAGTGAAGAGATATCTGGAGTCGATGCTAAAGGCACAGTCCCAGACCCAGCGCTGCGTGTCGTGTCGTAGCTCGCGCATCAGCGACCAGTCACTCGTGTTCCACACCTTCGCAGAACAGTCGCCCGATGTCGTCACCAACATCCTAATCATACAACAAAGATAGTCATGTCATGACTTCAATCCTATTACTTGATACAAGTATAATCGACCAATCATGAGCGTCTTTCTTCCACGCAGATGAATTGAAAGCCTTAAATAACGTATGATATGAAACAATGATATTCAGTGTTGGGTACACGTAGCAATTTGTTATTTTAAATTCTATACTTACGTGGAATCGTGGCTGAATTTGCACCTCAATGCATACTTTCGATGTGCCTGTATGTGTTTGCGAGGCACGGGGCGCGGCGGCTCGCCGCTTAGCGTCCACACGTAGCAATTGCCTTTGTTGTTTACCGCGGCCATCATCTTGCCTTCAGGGTCTATCGCAATATCTTGGATTGAAGCTTCTGCTTCAGGAATCTGAAGAAAATAGTGCTTTGTTTTACTACTACTAGGTGGTAACAATAAAATACAAAATGAATTAGTAGTTTACAATAAGCAGCTAATAAGAATGGCAGCACAAAATGTGCACTCAGCTTGAGTACATTTTGCTATTTCATTCGTTTGTTAAAACATCCCATTGGGAATAAACATAATTGAATCGTCAACCAATATACATGTAAGATCAACATAATTTGAAACCTTTAATTTAATTAAGACCAAAGTGACTACTCTTGTATCACACACTCTTTGGACTGGTGAGAAAGTTAGTTCATTCTTTCACCCATTACGAAACTGGCACCTTAATAAAAATAATAATTTTTGATGATAAATGTATGTTGATTGTAACATGTATAATATAATATAAATATTTAAATATTAAACACGCTCACCAGTTGTTCATTCTGATCATTGCGCAGATCCCACATATGAATAATACCACTCTGGTCACCCACCATGATCTGAGTCTGATCAGGGTGAAGAATTACAGCATTCACTGGTGCAGGCACTTGAAATATTCTTTGACATTGGAACTGACGACCCCTGGTTATAAACAAAGTAGTTAAAATTGCAGGCCAAAAAAAAATAACGCACACACTCAACATAGCCCCGCCACTAGGCAAACCCTGTGTCGCGGGCGCCATGGACACACACATAGACAACCACAAATTACACCCAAACTTACGAGAGAAATAATTGTAGGCCATACAAATATTTCTCCCGGCCGAAGGAATTTTTTCTGAGTGTTCGATCTTTGTATTAATAATTATAACAAACTAGTGGAGTAATTTCACAAAAAATAATTGAATATCAATTCAATAAAAATGTAATTAATACAGTGAATAGCGACATCTCTCGCCAGGACTGGTAGCTGTAAAGGTACTAACTGGGTGATAAATCTGTCATAGATTTCTCATAGATGGCGCTACGACTAAAAAGTCGTTGAAAGACCAAGTACAAAGACACGATGCAAGCACATAGAAAAATTCGTGAGGTCCGTTGGTTCGTTCCGTGGCTTACTTGGTATAGCGTCTGGCACAGTATGCAAGAAGACGTCGGTTTGAATCCGATCGGATCGAAAGAATTTTTTCTGAGTGTTCGATCTTTATATTAATAATTATAATATCAGCACATTTGCTAATAGTGGTACTAATTGCAAATGATTTAAAAAAAAATGTTATGGATGAGTAATAAAAGATTCTACAATGCCTGTCTGAATCATTTTCTTTAAGGATTAAATCATTCAAGTCCCACCTGAGGTCCCATATTTTGGCTGTACAATCTTCTCCGCCTGTGTACATCCATTTGCCATCTTCCTGTAATTAATAATTACATATTATAGTTTTTTTCATTTGTTTTTAAATTAAATGAACTCCCTTTTGACCATGCCTAGCCTACCTACAAAGATAGGATCTACGATAGAATGTGCTCGACCAGAAGATGCCTGTTTCATTAAACTAAACTAAATTATATTTTTGAACTCATAATAACACAGCACGCTAAGCATATAATATAGGATAACAATTACTTGGGAGAGAAACATATATGTACTATAATAATAAAAACATTATTGACTCCCACCCCCCCTTTTCTGTGTTTTGCACAGTTATGACTTTAGTACGAAGGTAAAATCTGATGAATTATTAAAAATTTGAAATTGTAAAAATTGTGAATTAGTAAAAATAGAAGTTGTTGTTCATGATGCTAATAATATAGTACTGTAGTGTTTTACTAATAACCCTGTATTATTTACACAACTTACATAGGTAACAATTTTCGAAAACAATAAATCAGTCGGAAAACAAATGCAAGAAAGACACTAAAACTATGTGTGTAATAAACATTACCTGGAAGCCAACTCTCGACACATTCTTGGTAACACCCTCAAAGTGGTGTACAGGGTCAGGATTAGCACTAGCCAGGTCGTACAGACGAATGTGCTGATATCCGCAAGCTGCTACCATCTGACCATTTGGAGTGATTTCTAGGCCATTTACTTGCTGTAATAAAACATGTAAATTAGTAATGGATGTTATTCACTGAATCATTGTTAAAATACCTGACTCTGATTGAACAAACTGTAATCAATAAATCAATCAATATCAATCAATCTTCTAAATTCTATGTTGAAAACTATAGCACAGTTTTCATACATTGTTCAAATTTTGCAGTTTAGAAAAGTCTGCGAATTTGTCACATATTTCGTTATAATAACTGTTTTATAATATTAAAGGTTTAGTAAAAATAAACAAACTTCAGCTGTCACTTGGTTAACTAGTGAAATACAATATTTAGTAGGGAGTTTCATACGTCATATGCTGCTGCTGTTCTCTTTAATTTTTTTGTTTAACTAAAGATTTATAAAACAACAAACATAGAAAACAATAAACATCTTTAATTAAATATTATATTCATATAACAATATTCAGTACTATTATAAATAAGTAGTTCGAAATTTTGACTATTACCTGAAAATATTATATTTAGAACCATTTCCAAAAAGTTCATTATAATTTTACAATAAGGAACCAGGTAATGTCTCATAAAATTCTGCATTATGGTTTATTATCTTAGGGTTATATTCCAGAACTCTACTCAATACTCAAGTCAGGACTTGAGTATTGCAGTGAGCACTGAAAATCATACTCAAGTCCACCATTAGGGTTTTCCAGTGCTTGAAATCATACTAAATTCTGCTCAAATCCTGACTTGAGCATTGAGTAGAGTTCTAGAATACGACCCCTACACCTTTGTATTATAATTATACAACTTTTCAAAATTTTCACCAAAAGTTTTGTAAAATTTAAGGAATAACAAATCCAGGTTTTTATGGTGCGATTAAATTTCTATCCAATGTCTCAGATCTTGAGATTTAATCTCTATCCCGCTATGATGAAAAATAAAACGTCATCATTTTTCTCTTTTAACTAGGGTTATTTGAGAATCTTACCGAGTCCGGGTGTTGCATGGTTCGCAGACAGACGCCACTGTGCGCCTGCCATAACTTGATGGTATGGTCGTATCCACCAGTGACCAGAGCCACTTGTGACCCAGCATTTTCAACAGCCATCGCTGTTTGATTTACAAATAAATAAATTAAGAATTACACTTTAAGGCAATGAGCACAAGTTTCCATTTAGTATTTATTGATTATGATTATTGAACTTGGTGTTGATTGGTACAATAAAAAAAATTTGAAGGTGTTTTTAAAGAAAAATTAATTCTATAGGTAAAATGTTTATAAAATAATAATTATGTAGTTTACATGAGAAGAATATTTCAAACTGAAATTGTGAAAGAGGGTTGTCTTGTGCTGCTTTTATAGGACTTTCGAATAAGTTACAGCTAATTACTAATTGCTTAATGCAATAATTCAGGATACAACAAAATTCAAAACATTTTGTTCACAGATTTTGTTTCATTGAACACACGCCTTGACTCTTGACAATGCTGTTTTTAAAGTATTGCGATTTTCAATGTTCCACAAAAATCAGACACAAGAAATATGTATTAGGTTAACACTGATGATAAATATTATTACAAGTAACAACTTATGTGAATTAAATAGTGGTGATACCACACAAAGCAAAAATCTGATTTTTAAAAGAAAAAACTAAGTCGACTTCCCGTGGTTTGTGTTTTTGGTGCTTAGAGATGAGCGAGTCGAGTTATGTAACTCGATTAACTCAAGTTACTCCCACAACGAGTCAACTCGAGTTAGAACGAAGAGTTAGAACTCGAGCTAACTCGGTTCGGTACTCGCCTCTATCTACTACTATCCAGTATAATGTACACTTTGAAGTTTCGTAAATAATGCTAAAAGACAAAAGGAAGGAAAATGTACTAAGAGTAAATAAGTAAATCCACCAGTTTTTACACAATAATCAAATGTATTTCTTATTCCTATATTCTCAATATCTAGTCGTACACATACAATATTATTGGCAATTAGAGGTGGGTGATAAATAACGTCACGATGAAAAAATCACGATGATCAAACAGTATCACCGTGACTCGTTCTGGAGGAACGACGTTCCAAAGTCACATAGGTGTTCCTCCGTTCCAATAGCTATCCCCGTCACTCACATCACGACATACGTATTTGATACAATGCGCGATCTCCGTTCCGTGGTGATTGAGGGCATCACTCATTGTAGTTCTTTTCAAATCGGGCCATTTCGGCGATGGGAGTGAATGAAATAGGATTACTTTCTTTGCTCACTTACAAGGGTGCACCTACGGGTGCTTATTACTACTAGAAAAGGCGGATGAAAAAAATCTGCAGCAGTTATTATAAACCTATTTATGAACAAAGTAAAATATTTTTGTATATTTGTTTTATTATAGGAAGAATTGGTATTTTATATTTATGTATAATCTACTTTGTGCATTCTACTAGAAATATAATTACATTACACTTTATTGCTATTTTTAACAATCCAAAGACTCGCATTAAATAAATAACAAACAAAATTACATTACATAGAAAATCAACTTTTTGAATGGAATTGAAACTTATTACAAAGGGAGTAAAAACTTAAATCATTCTATAAAAAACGGCTATAGGTATTAGAAAGAAGCCGCTGGCTAAAACCGTATATCGTGATGTAAGTTATAGGCGTGACAAGGTCACGGAAGTAACTGTCGTGACAAAATCACGATGATTTATCACTGTGATTTTTTTGGAACCGGAACGACAGTCACGGCGATAGAAATGTAACGCTATTCCGCATGTCTATTGGCATTTGGCAATGCAAGTTTATGTATGTGTCAACAGAACAATATTGCACGCACACAAACAATATTATTATTGTGTGTGTGCGGTCAGCCAATGAGAATATAACCACTAGAGTGGTCACTAACTAAATGATGACCAGCGAATCAGCGTTCGAAGTGCGTTTTGTTTCTGCAAGTACAATTTTAAATTGTGTACCTGTGTACGATTTTTCATGTATCGGATAAAATATATCGATAGTACTAATCGGTACCGAATGATACGATAATATCAGATTGATTCGATATTTTTTTTAATGTCGATACCTATCGAGCACTCCGGTCCTGTGTTCTGCAAGATTTCATCATGACAGCCGGGACGCGCTCCCTTCATAACCCTGTCGTTTTCCGTTACTCGTTTTACACACAATTTAATTTTTTTACCTTTATTTCAGTGGATGGAACGAAAATCCGTACATTTGCTGGTAATTTCCGTAGGTGAGACCAGAATTCGGTAGATACACTGACAAATTCGTAGGTTTTCTACCATCACTGCGCAAGTGTGTGACAACCGGAGCGCGCAGAGTATTGTATATCTGGAGCGCGCGAGGTGACATAATGTGAAGTTCACAAATTAGGAAAGGCAAGACCAATAAATAGGTGGGGCCAAAAAGTAAAAAAATAATTTTTATATGAAAAGTGCCTCATTAATCGCTAAACCTATTTGTCAGCCGATATTCAGACGGAATGCTAATCGAATTTCGGTGTACAGTCAACAGTACGTCAAGCTATACACTTATGTTCGAATATCGCCTCAAGTGCAACAAAACAAGACTCGTCAGTACGTATGTGCTGCCGTCTGCACGATGTCGAATAAGGCTGCTAACAGATTGACTGCATGTTAGTAGATAATGCGTGAGGTCATAATCAACTTGTGCAGCCGAGACTAGACTGCAATAAGTTAATTACGACTTCACACATTAACTGAAAACATGCAGTCAATCTGTTAGCATTCGAATTTGAGCACTGCGAACAACTACGTTGTGCACTGTTAAATAAGTACATACCTACGAAGAAATGCATGTGCAATTTACTATGCCCGACAAAGGCGATTTCAGTGTTAGGTAATTATCATAGATTTTGTATATAGCTACCCAATTATGGTCACATGCATTTCAGTTAACTGAAATTGCAAGTAATCTATAAAAAAAAGCGATGGGCGTCATATGAAATTACTTTATTGAACATGTAAAATCCGTATTGACATGAGGAATGCTAGTTCTCATTTACAAAATAACACAAATGTAAAATTTGAGAGACAAATCACATCGAAAACCTACCTATTTACTAACTAAAAATACAACATACACTTCAATTTCCTAAAATTATTTAAATTGTCCATCACGATCAAAGTCATGAGGTCTGATCTTAGCTAAGTTTGGTACCATTATCAGCATTGAAATTTACAATGAGAAGAGGTAGGTTTAATTAACAATAAGCCATCATAATCCTTGTATGTAATCTTTCTCTAATTTTACATGGTGTAGTCTGTCCAAAACTCTAGTCAAGAATGCAAACTTATAAACACTGTAAATACTATGGCATATTCAAAGCACAGCTTTGAAAATATTGTAGGTATTAGACATACAAGTTTTTAAAAACCAAAGTCATCTCAAAAGAGCATCCTGTAGTTACAGCGAACTTAACGAGGGAGGGCTAACTGTACAATTCCCCAGTGATACACGCTAACTCTTAAACATTATTTTTGAGGCTTAGAAACCTACTACCTTAGCCTGCGGTGATCTTTCCAAAGTCTGCACATGTTACACTTATAACTATGTCAATACTCCTCTGTAGAATGAAAGTCATGCATTAATTTTATTGAATAAAAGTAAATTCATCGTAAAATTGGATTTGATCAACATAAAAATTTATGTAGAAAATAATTTCTTGGTGTACATTACAGACTTTGGAAAGCATGTTCCGTTGTAATAAATTAAGTCCGAGTAAATTATTCAATATGAACATGAGACGTGTTTCCAGCAGGGAGATCATTCGCTTTCCTCCTCTTCCTCACCACCCTCCTCTTCATCATCGGACTCCTCCTTCTTCTTCTTGGATTTCTATAAAAGAAAAGAAAGAAATTGTATCTATTCAAATGTAGGTGAATTAGTGGAGCCAAAAGTAAATACATGTTAATAGGCAGTGATCAGTAATTGAGATGGGACATGAAGACTTACGGGTGCAGCCACCTTCTTTCCCTTCTTCCCTCGCTTCTGCGCCTTCTTGCCGCCACCTTCGCCGCCGCCGCCGTTGGCGTTATATGACTCCAAGTCTTTAGTATATTGTTCTTTTGCCTTTGCCGCTTTCTCCTCCCATACCTGAACATTTGCAAACAATTTAGCAATCAAATCGATAAATAAATGTAAATCAAAGACAAAGGACGCTACATGTAAAGATAATAGACTTACACTCTTGTCCTTCATCCCTCTCCAAATTTCTCCGCCTTTCTTCGCGATTTCAGTGACTTTCAGTCCAGGGTTGTCAGCCTTGATCTGTTCCCGGGCACTGTTCAGCCACAGCATATACGCTGACATGGGGCGTTTTGGTTTGTCCGACATTTTTACTTTTTTCCTGCAAGAAAACATGACTGCACTGAATGACAAAATTTAGCTAAAAACTGAGAAAATTAATGGCAACAGGTTATGCGGGCCATGCTCGACGCTACCGAGTGCATGCCTAGCCTTTACTCCGCATACGAGGCACAGTAAGGCGGCGTTTTGGCGGGAAATGGTTTTACGCGACTTTGTAGTAGAAATACGAATTTCCAATAATTAATAATTAAATCAACAGCTAAAAAACGCACTTTAGAAATTAAGAATAAGGTAAAAATCAACAAAATCACATATTGCCCCATATAACGAGTTCACTGGCCCAAGCTTGGGTTGACGAGCCATTTTGTTTTCACGATTTGACTTGAAAATACGCAATAACTAATAAACCCGATATTACGAAATAATCCCTTAACTATTAATCTAAAACTTGTAGAAGAACTGTTACGAACCTTCAATGGAAAAGATTCGAGAAATAAATTATTGAAAATAAGGCGTCCTTTCCTATAGCCACGCTACTAAGGAAAGTACGGCGATGCCTATGGCCATGTTTGAAGTAGAATTCCAACGTGGAATGAGAGATAATTTTACAAATGACGGATTGACTACTAATATTAAGCTTAATAAAACACTTGACTATCAGTAGAAAAATTATTAAACTTACCTGATGGCAAAAATTTTGAAATTATTTTTGAACTGGTACACAACCAAACTGTAGACGTAGAGAACCAGAAGAAAATGTATGGAGCTCGAAGCAAATGTTCCCGTGCAAGGCTTGGGTCGGTCGTATCGCGTCGCTACTGTAGCGCCATCTACGACTGTTCTGATTGGCTGAGAGAATACACGTTGCCAACCGCACGGAATCTATATGGCATCCTGTACTACGTATATCCGTGACGTATAAGTAGCCATGAATTTACAATTTTGAGTCTTATGGTGTACACGTAACGTAGAAATTTGTACGTATTTATAGGTTTCATACATTTACTTCCAATA